CGGAAGTGGAGGAGCTGGGACTCCTGGCTCTCGGATGTGGCATGCCAGCAGGGCTGCCCCCATGAGTTTTTCTTCTGTAACTATGCTATAGCACCAGTGTCAGCCAGTGGGAGAGCCCCTGGTGTGGCTAGAGGCCGCAGCAGCTACTGGGCAATTTACTCCCCAGGAAGGTCAGTACTGCCAAGTGTAATGTCACCCTAACCACCAACCATCACATGCCTCAAGGCAGCCCTCTGGTTTCTCTTCGCTAGTTTCCCTCCTGTGTGTGTTTGCTTATTGAACCCTCAGGGCAGTTTATATATTCCGGTCACTGTGTATACTGCAAATACTTCCTCCCTGCCTGTCTCGTGTGGGGTTGTTAAAGTCCTGGCAAAGCTAGGCTTCCGCTGTTGTTTCCTTTTCCCTTGCATCAGACATTGTCAATACATCCTTCCTGCTCTGGTTCTATTCCTGCTGAGCCTCAGCAGGGCTGGGTCCCTGACAGCCACCCTGGATTGAGCTGCCAGGAATGCCAGCAGGTGCCATCCAGAGCTTGGCTAGGGAGGCCCTTGGGCTCTATTCCACCCCACAGAGGCCACAGCTTCCCCACAGCAGGCACATGCTTGAGTCACCAGATAAAACACAGAACACCCAATTATACTTGAACGTAAAAGGCAGATTTGGAGGGGCAAACATTTAGCTTAGTGGTTTAAACACCAGCATGCCACACCCTGGGAGGCAGCAGGAGGGACAGGGTGCCTGTCACTGCTGTGGGAGTCCTAGATGGAACCCCCAGCTGCAGGCCCCAGTCGCCACAGGCATCTGAGGAGTGAGCGGCAGGTGGGTGCTCTCTGTGTCTGTGTGGCTTGCAAATGAATGTATTTTTCAAGTGAAAAAACTTTTAGCAAAAACATTACCCTTGGAGCAGAATTTCCCTGTGGGCTACACAGTGAGCAAAGCAAGGTTTGCATAAGGCAGAGGCCTTCTGTCACAGCTGCCAGAAGGGCTCCCAGAGAGGGAGAGACAGGGATGGGGCCAAGGGAGGCTTTTTTTTTTTTTAGTCCAGTATGGCAGACACAAGGGGAAAGAATCTCAGCTTGGTGGCAGGAGAAGGGCGCGAAGGAGTACTGGGGTGAAAGGGCCAAGGGAGACTTTTTTTTAAATTTATTTATTTTTATTGCAAAGTCAGATATAGAGAGGAGGAGAGACAGAGAGGAAGATCTTCCATCCAATGATTCACTCCCCAAGTCAGCACAATGGCCAGTGCTGTGCCGATCCGGAACCAGGAGCCAGGAACTTCCTCCAGGTTTCCCACACGGGTGCAGGATCTCAAAGCCTTGGGCCATCCCTGACTGCTTTTCTAGGTCACAAGCAGCGAGCTGGATGGGAAGTGGAGCAGCTGGGATTAGAACCAGCACCCATATGGAATCCTGCTGCTTTCAAGATGAGGACTTTAGCTGCTAGGCCACACTGCCAGGTCCAATGGAGACTTTTAAGAACAATTTTAGGGAAGGAAAAAAAGACAACAGCAGGGCCTGGTGCAATAGCCCAGCGACTAAAGTCCTCAGCTTCAGCCATTGCGGCTACTTGGGGAGTGAACCAGCAGATGGAAGATCTTTTTCTCCTTTTCTCCATAAATATGATCTGCCTTCCCAATAAAAATAAATCTCTTAAAAAAAAACATTTTGGGCTGGGCATGGTAGCCTAGTGGCTAAAGTCCTCGCCTTGAACGCACCAGGATCCCATATGGGCACCAGTTCTAATCCGGCGTCCCACTTCCCATCCAGTTCCCTGCTTGTGGCCTGGGAAAGTAGCTGAGGACGGCCCAAAGCCTTGGGACCTTACACATGGGAGACTCCGAGGAGGTTCTTGGCTTCCTGGCTTCAGATTGGCTCAGCTCCAGCCATTGTGGCCACTTGAGGATGGTGGAGATAAAACTCATCCTAGGATCAGGATTACAATCAAAACAAAAAACTATCAGAAGGGTGTGACTGGCCTTCCTTCCTTCCTTTCTTTCTCAAAAAAAAAAAAAAAATTTTTTTTTTATTGAAAAGGCAGATTTACAGAGTAGGAAAAACAGACAGTTTTCATCAACTGGTTTACTTCTCAAATGGCTGTAATGACCAGAGCTGAGCCAATATGAAACCCCGTGAGAGGAGCTTCTTCCAGGTCTCCCATGCTGGTGCAGGGTTCCAAGGCTTTGGGCTGTCCTCTACTGCTTTCCCAAGCCACAAGCAGGGAGCTGAATCAGAAGTAGAGCAGCCAGGATATGAACCAGCACCCTGGTGCTTATCATCGGAGGATTAGCCTATGGAGCCACTGCCCTGGCCCCTGGTCACTTCTTTTATCCTCATGATAAACTGCAAACTTTGAAGGGTGGAATCCCTGTCCCCTTGTTATTCTCATAACAAAACCAGAAACTCGGGAGTGAGTTCTAAAGGCAACTTGACAGTATGGCAAGTATCTTGTACACTCTAAGAGCCTCATTCTCTTCTCATTCTGATAGGGTCCTGACCCTGCCCATCTGTGAGCCCGTTGCCCTGTCTCATAAAAGGCTCTGATAGTATCTGACATACTTACGTGTTCCAACTGTTCATCCTGAAGTTCAGCTGAAACAGTGCATCTTGTTATTTGCTAAATCTTGGCAATTCTGGAAGGCAGGGGCTGCAGAGCAGACACAAACTCAGCTGCTGCCCTGCCCCCACCTCCTCCTGCCCCTTCGTGCCTGAGTCACTCGAGGTGAGCCACTGTTGCCACAGTTCCCGAGGCGCCTACCCTAGTCACCAGCTGCTGGACGGCTGCGGCTGGGCTGGCCAAGGAAGCATAAGGGGTTGGATGAGTCACACAGATGGGAAGGCCCTGGCTTGGGAGAGATCTGAGCCTATGGCTGGAGGCCAGCGTGCCAGGCACCATTCTTCTTATACTTCCGGAAGTCAGGAGGAGAGGGGCTCAGACCCAGTGGCTAGGCTAGGAGCAGGGTTTGGAAGGAGGGTCCTGAGTCGGAATGAGAACTTTTTGCTACTCCACAGTAGGCCCCAGAACCCAAGACCAGACTGGCATTCAGGTCCCCACACTGCCCAACCCTGCCTTTCCTATTGGGGCCAAAGTGGCCCATGAGGGTCACGGGCACAGTGCCCACCTTGAAGTCAGGCTGAAGGCCAGGAAATCCAGGCTAGGCAGAGGTGCCTTAGGGGCTGCAGAAAGCATCAGGTGGCAGGTAGGCAGTACCGGCTTGGCTGGACACCACAGACACTGGGGAGCAGAGGTGGGGAGTGAGAAAACAGATCTCTAGGGATTTCAGGCAGTGATTTATGTCCTGTAAGCATGTCTAAAAGGGAGAGAGGTCAGGAAAATTCCTGCCAGGTGGGGCCGGGTGAGGGTCCCACAGGTCTGGTCAGGGGGGCTGGAAGCCTTGGGGAGGGGGCACTGATCCCCTGGTGACAAATTATCTGACTGCAGACATGTACCCGTGTTGTCTTCCAATTCCTGATGGGATGTTCCATCTGGGAAAAGCAAGGGCGGTGGAACAGCCCCCGGAGTTGGAGACTCCCAGGATGCCGGGAGGATCAGGCCAAACATAGCAGATGTGGGCCTGACCTGCAGGCCGAGGTGCCACAAGCTCCCTGCCACCACAGGGCAAGCTTCAGCTCTTGGTAAACCAATTGCACATTTCCTGCGCCAGCAATCACAGCGAGCTCATGGCTTGGACCTTGCGATTGCTCAGCCTCACCGATGCTCTTGCTAAATTCCCAGCCTTGCAGAGTGACGCCTTAGGGCACCGAGCACCTTTGGCCTCTACAACCAATGCTCACCCATGCACGCATGCACGCACGCTGCTCTTCCATGTTCTGAGAAAAGTCTGCTCTTTGCCATTTTTCCTATGGAATGTTTTTAATCTTTGCTAAACCCAAAGTGGCTGCTTCTAGAAATTTTCATGTATACAGCCCCAGGTCTTTTTCAAAATTTCTCATTACTGGGAAATGAGGTAACATTTGCCAAAAGTGTGTAAGACAAGACATTTGCTGTGAGGCCAACATCAACAAGGCTGTTTCCCCAGGATGCTGACTTTACTTCGCCCCAGGTGCAGATGTCAAGCTGCGACATCCAGAATGTCTCCCAGACACTGTCACAAACAGTCCTCGTGGGCAACATGGCCATCTCCTGCGGCCCACCCTCACCCCCCACCCCTGGCTGCCCACTTAGGCTGGCCCTTCTGCCAGGCCCCAGCGCCAGGCTCCCCATCCCCCAGCTCGACATGCCATGCCCCTTTGGCAGGTAGCAGCCTGTCCCTGGAAGGCAGGACTAAGCAGCTTGCCCTGGCCAAGCCTCCCACGCTCTGCCCCTCACCCCTACTTCTCCAGCTTCTCCCCGCCTGCCCCTCCCCCTGCCAGTGAAGGTGGCCAGCGCTTGCAGGGAAGGTTTCAATCACTCCTGTCCGGGCTTGAGCCAACCCAGCGCATCTTCCTCACGCATCTGGCGCCCCCGCCAAAGTATACGTAGCCTCAACTCTCTCCAGCTCACAAACCCCAGCACCTCGGGGAGGATCTAGGGTCTGCTCATTTTTGTTTCCCTCATCTTCCGTTGGGGCTTGGCTGCTTGGCGTTTAATTCGAGGTCGCTTCAAGAACAGAAAGGCAGAAGGGCAACCCGCGAAGGGCCGCAACCCCGCGCCCACGGACGCCCTTGAACCCGCCGCCGAGCGTCACGCGTCCCCGGACTCTCGGGCTCCGCCTTCAGCCAGCTCCCTCGGGCACCTGCTGCATGGGGCCCGGGGCGAGGTTAGCGGCGGCCTCCCGGGCCCGAGGCGTCATATGATTCCTCAATCACATGATCCCGAGAAAATGGGGTGTGGGGAGAAAGAGAGGAAGAGAGGAGGAGGAGACTGAATCGAGTAGGAAAGAAACACAGCCTTCCAGGCTAGCCCCGCCTTTACGTCGACAAGTAACCAATGAGACTGCGGCACTTCGGGCCCATGGCCAATGGAAACCGAGGTGGGCGGGCCGGCGTGCTGAAGGGCCGTAGTCCGCGAGCCGACCTGCGGCTGTTACCCCGAGGAGCGCGGACGCAGGTAGGAGGGCGGCGGTGCAAACTTCTCGCCAGCGTCTTCTTAGAGACCCTGCCAGGGATGTAGGCTGAAGGTTCCTCGGGCGTCTCAGCCCTGGGACTGGAGAGGACCCGTTTATAGAAACTCCTGTAGGGGTTTCCGATGCCGGGGAGGGGATGCCGGGTTGGGGGAGGTGCAAGAAATCGCTGCGGACGTCCCCACTTCTAGAAGGAGCTGGTCGGCCCCCTCAGAATCCCGGGAAGCTGCAGCCCTCGTTCTTCTCCCAAGCCCGATTCTCGAGGCTGCTCCCGCCGCCCGTTGGCAGGTGTCGGCTCTTGCCCCCTGTGGTGGGGTGGTAGCTGGTCCCCGCGGCGACCTGGTGGGTAGAACACCTGCCTGCTCCTGGTCCCGGAGCCCAGAGGGGCTGGGAGCGGGACTGGGTACAGGTGCCCCAGCCCCTAACCCTTCCTTAACTTCCTCGTCTGGGGGCTGGGGCACCAGCCAACTTCTGCCACTCCCCACCACTTTCTCCTGCGCCTTCTGTGCTAAGGTTACTTATCTTTTGGGGGGAAGATGCTAGGGGCTTGTGGAGGCTCCTGTCTTGTAGAACTGTTGGGCAGTGTAGGGCGAGGTGAGATGCCATCCCCGGGGCCGTCTGGCATTTCTGGGGCTTTGCCAGTGTGCACTAGGTACGTACCGTGCGCTCCCCCACCTTGGGCTAGGCAGTGAGGACTATGCAGCAGACACTTCTGAGCTACAAGGAACCCTTCCTAGAGGCCTGCTCAGCACTGTGGTTGAATGGGAAGAAGCAGGTGCAGGGGGTGGGGGTGCAGGAATTGGGCCTGCGAGCTCCAGGGTGGGGGCCACGGGCAGGGCCAGGCTGCATGGGCATGGGCTAGGGGATGGCCTCTGGGGGTGTCCTAGGTGTATTTGGGGGGGCAGGGGAGCATTGAGGAGAGGCTTGTAGAATTGGAGTGAATGGGCCCCTGGGATTTCCTGCCACCCCCCCCCCATGGCCATTCAGATGGGCAGGGACATCCGAGGCCTTCACAATGGGTGCAAATATAGGAGCCATATACAAGTTCAAGTTCCACCTCTGTCCATCCTGGCCAGAAATACTTTGGGTCCCTGCCTGTGCCGGGACCTTAGGCCTCTGCCTGCCTGCAGCTTGGGGTCTGCTCCTGGGCAGGGCTGGCCCACCCTTAGGCCCACCTGACACAGGACATGCACGCTAGGCTTTGTGTCTCAGAGCTTCAGTGTGCTCCTGAGGCTAAAGGTCATTGTCACCACTTGGGAAGATTATCACAAAGGAATATGCCAGGGAGAGTGAAGTCCCTGGCTCCTAGCAGACAGGAAGGCAAGCTGACAGGCCTAGGGACTGAACAGGGTGGGTAAGCAAGAGATGACTTCCCCCCAGGGAAGGGGGAGGGGGGACTGATCAGGGTGGGCTGTGAGAGTGACTTCCCCCCAGGGACTTGCCCGAGGGTACTGGGGCAGGGTGGGCACCACTGAGAGGTGGCTTCCCCCAGGGGCTCCCCTGGTGTGTGTGTGGGGGGGGGGACTGCTGGGGTGGGCTGTGAAAAGCAGCTTCCCCTGGGGGCTCAAGGCTCAGTTCCTCCTGCTGACTCAGGCAGTGCTGGGTGCACGCAAAAGGCCTCACCGCACTTGTGGCTGTTTCATTTTCAAGAGAGAAGGCGAGGTGGGGTGTCAGCTGGCGTGTTTGGGGAGCCTGCAGGTGTCCTTGGTGGTGTTGGAGGGGGTTGTGCTCGGAGCACAGGGTTTTCGAGGGCTGACCCAGGGGTGTCTGTGGCTCATCTGGGATGGGGGAGGGCCAGTCTGTTGTGGGTGGGATGTGGTGGACCCCTGGGGCAGACACCCTAATCTCAACAGGTTACTACTTCTTTTTTCACCACTTTCTCAAAGCTGTGGTTTCCTTGGGGGGCGGTGACCACTCCTTCCCTACAGGACCTTAGCAGGTGCAGGTGTGGCTCTGGGATTGAACCAGGAGGTACAGGGGTGGGGGATAAACAGAGAACTCCCTCCTGTAACCCAGGCCTGTCTTCCTCTCCAGCCCTTGAACTTCCGCAAACCGCGAGGTGGCTCTTGTCCTTCCCCCCCCCCCCCCCCCGCATCAGACCCACAAAACTCACACGGAATCTCGTGATCCACGCAGATGCACCTCGTGCTCATGTCCAGGGGTTATCATACTTGGCACGTGTGTGACACATACATGTTGGACATGTGCAGGAAGTGGACACCAATTTGCCTGTGTGGACAGAGTTACTAGGGAGGCTCAAGGTGTCCCAGGCCTGGACTCTGACCTGGGGTTGATCGAGTGAGTGGCTTCAGGTTGCAGGAGAAATGGCACCAACTTCAACCAGCTGATAACTGCCCCCTTGGTGTTTCACAGGCATATCATGTGGGCCCTGGTGAGTTGGGTGGCCTTGCTGGTAGGGCTGGTAGCTGGAACCCGGTGCCCAGATGGTCAGCACTGTCCTGTGGCCTGCTGTCTGGACCCAGGAGGAAGAGCCAACTACAGCTGCTGCCGCCCCGTGCCCGTGAGTAAGAGTGGGCGGCCCGGGCTTTCCTGAGGCGAGCAGGAGTTCTCTGGCTTACATGCTTCTCGCCTTTCCCAGGACACATCGGCCGGGATGCTGAGTGGACGTCTGGGCAGACATTGCCAGATCGGTGCCCACTGTGCCTATGGCCACTCCTGTGTCCTCACTATCTCAGGCACTTCCAGTTGCTGCCCATTCCCAGAGGTGAGGGGGACGTGAACTTAGTGGAGGGGCTTTGAGCTGTATGTCCACTTGCCCATGTGGCTTCTCCTGCCCCTGGGTCCATCCAAGGGCTGGACCAACGTGGAATCTCTGTCCCATACAGGCTGTGTCATGTGGGGATGGCCGCCACTGCTGCCCCCGGGGCTTCCACTGCAGTGCTGATGGGCGGGCTTGCTTCCAACAGTCAGGTACGGCAGGGGAGGGGCGGGTGAAGCAAGGGCAGGTGAGCAGGTGGGCCGGCAGCATGCAGAGCCCAGGGTGCCCTCACAATATGGCAGCTGTGCTAGGCAGGCCTTGGGCTCTGGGCAGCAGATCATGGGGCTCCTGGCAGGGTGGGGAGAGGCGGAGCTGTGGCAGCTGCTCTCAGTAGATGCCCCTACCCCATGTCATTTTGCTGGTGTTCACTGGGCCTGCACCTGCTTGTCACTGATGGGGAGGCCCCTTTACTGACGGGCCTGGTGAAATCCCCCCCACAGAGACCACCTCCGTGGGTGCCGTCCAGTGCCCTGGGAGCCAGTTCGAATGTCCCGACTCCTCCACATGCTGCGTCATGGTGGACGGCTCCTGGGGGTGCTGCCCCATGCCAGAGGTACAGGGCTGGGAGGTGGGGGCCGGTGCAGGTGGTGGTGGGCAGGGACATAGACACAAATCAGGACACCCTCTCCCCACCTGCAGGCTTCTTGCTGCGAGGACAGAGTGCACTGCTGTCCCCATGGTGCCGTCTGCGACCTGGCCCACACCCGCTGCATCATGGTCACTGGCACCCAGCCTCTGGCCAAGAAGATACCTGCGCGGAGGACTAACAGGCCAGGTGAGAGGCAGTGGGAGCACCGTGCCCTGCTGGAACAGGCACTCCTCCTGAGTACCCCTCACACCTCTTCTTTCTCTTCCTCCAGTGGCGTTAATGGCTCTGCCCACCTCTGTCACATGCCCTGATGGGCACTCCCTATGCCCTGATAACTCCACCTGCTGTGAGCTGCCCAGTGGAAAGTACGGCTGCTGCCCAATGCCCAATGTGAGTGAGGGGCTGGGGCCTGTGTGCTGGCTTTGTGTGTCCACAGCCACCTGGCTGCACAGGAAACCTACTGGGGTCTTCACCACAGCTGGAGCTGGGCTGGCTGATTCCAAGGGATGTAGGACTCGTGCTGCCCCCTAGTGGGGACTGAGGGCAGTGCCAGCCCTCAGCTTGGCAGCTCTGTGCTCAGCTCCAGCTGGCAGCCCCGAAGTCACACCCCCATCTCCACCCAGGCCATCTGCTGCTCCGATCACCAGCACTGCTGTCCCCAGGACACCACGTGCGACCTGATCCGGAGTAAGTGCATTTCCAAGGAGAACACTACAGACCTCCTCACCAAGCTGCCAGCACACACAGGTACCAGAGGCCCACCCAGGCCCATGCACTTGGGAGCAGAGAAGGAGGTGGGGTGCTGTGGTGGCACAAAGACCAGGCAGGTATAATCCCTTTAGCTCCACACTGGGCCTTGCCTGAGGACCACTGTGGGATGATGTCATCAGTGCTGCTGGCAAGGGTGGGCATTGCAAGGGTCCCCAGAGTCACTGCTAACTTGCCCTGGGCCTGCTATACAGTGCAGGACGTGAAGTGTGACATGGAGGTGAGCTGCCCAGATGGCTACACCTGCTGCCGTCTAGCCTCAGGAGCCTGGGGCTGCTGCCCTTTCTCGCAGGTACCTGGGTGTGCCCGAGAGGCTGGCCTGGGCTGGTGGGCACAGTCACCTCGGTGCCCATCATTGCTGGCCCTTCCCCATTCACTGCAGGCGGTGTGCTGCGAGGACCACATACACTGCTGCCCGGAGGGGTTTAAGTGCCACACAGAGAAGGGCACCTGTGAACTGGGGCTCCAGCAGGTGCCATGGATGGAGAAGGTGCCAGCTTCTTTGAGCCTGCCAGCTCCACGAGCCCTGAGCAGTGAAGTCAAAGTCACCTGTGACCCCCTCACCAGCTGCCCCACCTCTAGCACCTGCTGCCCACGCGCATCTGGGCAGTGGGGCTGCTGTCCTGTCCCAGAGGTAACATGATCCTCCAGCATGGGCATAGGGCAAAGCCAGGGAAGGCACAAGGTCTTGGCCTGGGCAAGGTGGTGACACCCAGCTCTGCGAGTGTCCCCCAGCTGGACGGGCTGTGAGCGGCACAGGAGGGCTGGGGTTGACAGGGAAGCAACCCTGGATTACCCTTTCTGCCCACTCTGCAGGCAGTTTGCTGCCAGGACCAGCAACACTGCTGCCCGCGGGGCTACACGTGCACGGCCGATGGGCACTGTCAGTGGCAGAATGCCACCACAGCAGCCACCCTGCCAAAGACACCTGCCCGCCAGGCTCCCCCATCCCACCGCCCCAGGGACATTGGCTGTGACCAGCACACCAGCTGCCCGGTGGGCCAGACCTGCTGCCCGAGCCTTGGTGGAGGTTGGGCCTGCTGCCAGCTGCCCCATGTGAGTGCCCACCTGCCCGTCCCAGGATGGGGAAGCCATGGTGCCTGGAGGAGGGGGACAGGAGTGTTAATGCCACTGTTGCGACCAGGCCGTTTGCTGTGAGGACCACCAGCACTGTTGCCCTGCTGGCTACACGTGCAACGTGAAGGCCCGCTCCTGCGAGAAGGAAGTGGACTCCATCCAACCAGCGGCCCACCTGTTGGCCGGTCCCCGTGAGGGTGTTGGGGATGTGGAGTGCGGCGCAGGACGCTACTGCCACAACAACCAGACCTGCTGCCGAGACAGCCTAGGGGGCTGGGCCTGCTGTCCCTACCGCCAGGTCAGTGCCACGCCCACGTTGGGGCTGGCTGTGTGGGCACCAGCCCCCTCCAGCTGCCTCTAACCGTCTCACTCTCCTCCACCCATCCAGGGCTCCTGCTGTGCAGACCACCGCCACTGCTGTCCTGCTGGCTACCGCTGCTCAAGCAAGGGCACCAAGTGTTTGCGTGGGGAGTTCCCACGCTGGGACATGCCCCTGAGGGACCCACGCCCCAAGCAGCTGCTGTGAGGTGGGGCTGAGGTCAGGAAAGACACGGCAGTCCCCAGGGCCCTGTCCAGAGGGTGCGCACTGCTCAGGCTCCCCCCCAATCCAGTGCCCATCACCCTGGCACTGGAGAGAGACCTCCAGCTCAGACCTTCCCCAGCAGAAGGGGTACGGGGAGGAGAGGGGCTGGGGCAGAAGCCACCTTACAAGCTGCCATGCTCCCCACTCCCAGTTTCTGTCCACCCTGTGGTCAGGTGCTGTCCCTTATCCACAGGGGTGTGTGTGCGTGTGTGTGTGTGTGCAGATGTGTGTGCTTCAATAAAGTTTGTACACTTTCTTACCAGCATCCGATTGGGTCACCCTGCCTGGCTCCTTGGCAAGGGTCTTAGCTCCCACCTTCCTTTCCCTCCTCCCCCACCTGGCAGAGAGAGACACAGCTAACCTCACCAGTTTTGTATTTGCGGTCACCCGTGGCGGCCCCATCAACATTAACCCCAAGTCCCCAGAGCTCACCCACACAGCAGCCCTGGGGCAGCCAAGCCCAGAGGTGGGCTGGTCTTGAGCGAGCAGCACCCTCCCTTCCCAGGGGTCCACAGAGAACGCCCCCTCCCTTCCTAGCCCTCACACGAGCAGCTGAGGCCCAGGCCGCCCCACCTGCTGTTCCCCACAGAGCCTGCTATGTACAGCCCCCAGAGGAGAGGCACTGCACCCCCACCCAGCCCTCGCCCACACCTCCAGTGCAGGCGTCAGCCCTCCCACCTCCCTGGGGCTCCTGGAAGCCGCCCCGGGGCCCCATCCCGAGACACATACCCACAGAACAGCTCCGCCGGCTGGGGAGGGACAGGCCAGGGGGCCCCTGCAGGCCCCCCGGTGGCGGTGGGGGTGGGCCCGGCGCTACTTAACGTTGAACACCATGAGCGGCCGCTCCTCGCGCCGCTGCCACGGGCTCTTCTTGTCGCCCGCTTCGTCACCCGCCTCGGCCCCCAGCTCGTCCTCCGGGCTGGTGAGCGAGTCACGCCGCAGCTCGCTGGCGCTGCTGCGGGAACTGTCCCCGCGACTGCGGCCCCGGCCCCGCGGCACGGTGGCCGCGCGACCCTCGGGCGCCGCCACCTCGTCCAGCAACGGCGTCAGGGAGTTGTCCTCCGGGGAGCAGAGGCCCGTGCGGCTCTCGCTGCTGCTCGGCTCCGTGTCCTCACTGAGCGCCAGGCGCGGAGGCGCGGGCGGCAGGGACGACGGCGGTGGCGCGGCGGCGGCCTGCCCACGCTCCCGCTCCTCCCGCGGGGCTCGCCGGCGCGCGGGCCGCGCTTCGTGCACGTCGACGCCCGAGTCCAGGCTGGCATCGGTGCTGCGGCCGCCGCCACCGCCCGCCTGCAGGTCGATGTAGGAGTGGCGCACTTGTGAATTGGAGCGCCCGTCGAGGGACACGAACCAGGCGCGCGGGTGCGGCTTCACGCCCAATTCCAGCAGCTTCTTCTCGGTCAGCGCTTGCAGCTCGCCATTGAGCTGCGCCATGGTGGACTCGTTGAACAGCACCGGGATGGTGACAGAGCCGCTGACGGGCGCTGAGCGCGCGCCCCCCCAGCCCTCGCCGCCGCCCGCCCCGCTGCCCTCGGCCCCCGCGCCAGCGTGGCCTTGCAGTGGTGGGCGCTGCGGGTCGGGCTGAGGAAAGGGGCGCGCGGGGCCCGGAACCGTGCCCTCGGGTGGCGCGGCCTCGTCGCCCACCCCCGCGGTGCCCGCTTCGGCGCCGAGGCGCACATAGTGCGCGGGGATCACCAGCGTGGGCATAACGTTGCGGTAGACGTTGTCCTTGAGGTGGTCGATGGAACCGCAGAAAATGAGCTGCCCAGCCTGGCTGAGCGACGGCGGCCGCGCCAGCTGGTCTACCGACTGCGACAGCAGGAAATCGGGCGTCTTGCTCTCGGCCGCTCCCTTGTGGCTCAGGTAGTGATCGAACGGAGGTGGCGGCGGCGAGGGCGGCTCATGCAGGAAGGCTGCGGCTCCCGCCGGCCCGCGCCGGTACTCCTCCAGCCCCGGAGGCTCCAGCCCCTCGACTGAGCGGGCGCCCTTAAGGCCTGCGCCCTCGGCCCCACGAGCCCCCGCGGGCTCGGCGGCCGGGCGGCTGGCCGAGCGCGGCTTGGCGCGGAAGAAGTCGTCCCGGGAAGCAGTCAGGTCCCGGGAGCTGGAGAAGGCCGAGTGGAGGGGCCCCGGGGGCGGAGCCTCGGGATCCCCCGATGAGGCGGGCTCTAGGGGTCCCCCACAGATGAGATGCAGCTGGGACATCGAGGTGGCCTGGTCTCGTTTGTTAGCGTCGGAGGGCCCGGACAGCTGCAGCTTGCGGTGCTGCTGCCTGGGCTTCAGGCAGCGCCTCCTGGGGAGCAAGGAACAGAAGGGGTCACCCCCATGAGAGTGACGGCTGGAGTGGCTCATCCTGCAGCTGCAGGGAGAGGTCAGACAGCAGGGGAGGAGGCAGGGAAGGACAGGGATCTTGGCTGGGGAGTTGGGAGGGGTGAGGAGAGAGCAGCTAGGGGAGCCTCTCCTGCCAAGAGTTTGGTCATTGTGGAACCCTCCACCCACAGCTTCCCTGTGGTGTACTCTGCAGTCCTTTGCACTTGGATGGAAACCTGGCAGGGGCCCCCAAGCGCCCAGAGGTGTGAATGGCTTGGGGGCCCCTGGAGTGGGAGCTGACTTGGTGGTCTTGGTCGGGAGGATCAGTGACCTAGCTAGCAGGTGCTGCTTCCTGCACCCACCCAATATCAGACCATGTACATCAGTGTCCTAAAGACTAGCTTGGTGTCTTGGGTACATTTGGGTCCGGGGACAACCTGGGAATGGACTGTGATGCTTAAGAAGATATCTGTCTGTCTGAGGCGAGGGGACGGGCTGAGGGGGCAGGCCGGTGGGCAGGGCACACTCACCGGCAGTAGTAGATGAGAAGACACAGCAGAATGAGCACCAGCAGGGCCAGGGCCGCCAGGATGGTGAGCAGGAAGATGGTGTGGTAGGTGCCAATGTCCTGGATGCCTGACGTGATGGTGACCAGGCCTGTGCCAGGCAAAGGCTTAGTGTTCAGCTGCAGGTATCCCTCCCACTGGCCCCTTGCCCCACTGGCCCCTAGCCCAATCCACTACTCTCACCCGCCGTAGGGGAGGCCATGGCAGCCGCCCAGTACCCCAGTTGGGGGGAGACGAAAGTCCAGTAGAGCTGCCGGCCTTCCTTCCGGATCACCCCAGTGCCGTTGCGCACCCACAGGCCTGCGAGAAGGACGGATTTCATCCAACTAAGTGCCACTTCTTTTCCCCCACCTCAAGTACTGCACCCACCCCCAACCCCATACTTACCACTCTTGGGATCGAACCTCCAGGCTGGAATGCTGGTGCCCACGGTGAGGGTACGTGTCTCTGAGGGCACAGGCAGAGACAGGTGAATGGGGCCCGACAGTGGTACCTCCGTCCCATTGCCTGTCAGCAGGTGCACACTCACAGCAGCCAGGGGCATCAGCTCCAGCCAGGAGCCATTGCCTGATAGGAGAGGACACATGAGCTGAGGGCTAAATCCTAGGGAGGGGACCCACACCATACCCCTACCCCACCCCATCACCGTACCCGAACTGGAGGCCTCTGTGCCCAGGAAGGCAGGGAAAGCGCGCATTTCCTGCGGGGTGATGGCAGGTGTCAGTGATGCCCAGAGCTGGCTGTAGGTGGAGCTGACAGGCAGGCGGGCAGCCCGGCGCTGGAACTGCACCCACGGCTGGGAGCGGGCTCCTGGGTGGAAAGAGGGGGACTGCAGTGGCCTGGCTGAGGGTGAGGGTTGCCGGGGAACAGAGCAGAAGGCAAGTGTGTGAAGAAGCAGAGCACCGGGTCAGGAAGGAGGGGTGGTGACTTGGCCAGAGAACTGGGCAGTGCACAGGATGCTGACTGGAACAGTCCTGATGGTGTGACACTCGGAACACGGTTTCCTTACAAGCCAATCCAACAAGAAGGCACAGGGCCTGCAGTCATCAGCGAGGGTTACTGGGTGAGGCCCTGGGGGTGCAGAGGTCAGTAAGACCTGAGCCCCTTCCTTCAAGGTCACAGTCTAGCATGCTGTTGTCCTTTATAGTCCGCATTCCAACTCTCCATGGTGACAGAAATGTCCCTTGCCTGCACTGTCCGCTAGGCTAACTGGCTGGTTGTCATGGGAGAGGCAGTGAGTATGATTGGGGAACTGGATGTGTGTTTAATAACTAAGAACTTGATGGATTTTGAATAACTCAAAGTTCGCTCTGTGTGTGTGTGTGTGTAGGAGGGGATAGACATATAAACAGAATTCCAGTACAGTATGGTCATAGCTGACATTTAAGACGCTTTAAATATGCTGGGCATTATCAGAGTATTAACCTCTATCATTGGCAGGCCAGCCCTGAAGCAGATGTCTTGATATCAACCCCACTTTACAGGTGCAGAATGTGATGCAGGAACAATTTAGTACACTTGCAAGGTCATCATTCTTAAGCCAGGGTTGGCGTCCAGGCCTTCTGGCTCTAGACCCCTGCTCTCACACTGCGTCCTCCATTCTGACCATCCCATTTGGCCAGGAGTGCACCGTGGTGTCATGCGGGCTGCGTATGATGCAGTCAGCACAGACGCTGGGAGGACCGGCAGGGGGAACCTGAGGCTTGAGGCCATAATGCCTTTGCCCTTGGGAAGGGCTTGCAGCTCTGCTTGGGGCCTGGGCTTTCCATGGCAAGTAGGGGAGATCCATTGGAGGGGGGCCGGGGCTCTATGCTAGGGACCAACAGAGACCGCCTGGCCTTTTAGAGACCCCCAGGGACTTTCAGGAGCCTTTCTTCACAGTGGGCTGCATTCCCACTTGGGATATCACCATCCTACATCAGTACAGGGTCAACTTCCGGATACTCTGTTAAGGCATCAGGGAAAGCAAAGATGGTGGCTCAAGAGGGAACCTGGATGGAGCTCCTGGCTCCTGTGGCCTGGCTCATCCCTGACAGCTGTGGCTGGTTACACAGTGAGCCAGTGGATGGAAGAATCTTTCTCCCTTGGATCAGGACCAGAGTGAGGGAGACCACAAGGGCTCAGTCTGAGAATATAAGCTAAGGGTTCTCCCTCACCTCACCTTGACCTGTGACCCTTGAGAATTAGCACATGGTGTTTATCTGCCCCTCTCTCCAAGAAAGGTGGCATTGCTCCCCATTGGCTGCTAGGGCCCTGTGATCCTACCGCTGTCTTCTCAAGTCCTCTGCCCAGCCGGGCTGTACTTGCACACTGCAGGTGCCCATGCCTTGGCAGCAGCAGCCCTCCGCCCTCTGCCTGTGGCAGCATCTGCAATGAGCTGTTTGTCTTCCTGCTTGTCCATGGACGCCACCAGGCAGGCTGTTGGTCTGCTTCTCCCCTGCTGCCCAGCATCTGTCACACTGCCTGGCGCAGTGCAGGTGCTGAAGAGTGTGAGCAGTGGGACTGGGAGTTTGGAGGTGGACAGGAGCCACTGTGGACTGCTCTGAGCCTCACAGCTGACAGGTGGGAAGATCTGCTCATGGTCTTCCAACAAATAGCCAGGCACCCAGTGGGTACAAGCACAGACTCACAGATCCACAGAGGAGAAAAGGTGGCAGGAGTTCAGAACAAACAGCACGGGAAGCCCCAAGGATGATACACCTTCACCTGAGCACCTGCTAGGGAATCCTCACTTTGACATGATGACGTAGCTCCTATGCTTCCACATCTTACGGATGTGCACAGAGAGGTCAAGTGATTTGGCCAAGGGCACCCCACTGAAGAGCAAAGGTCTCCAGAGCCAGGGAGGGGTGAGGGCCTGGCATGGATGGTGGGGAGGGGCGGGGTGTCTTACCAGGAGAGCCCAGGAGGATGTGCACGAGGTCCTCATAGAGGATGAGGGTGGCCGGTCGCTCCGGGAGCAGGTAGAGGCTGACGGCGGCGTATACTGCAGGAGGGGTGGCTGCTCAGCCCCACAGAAGCAGAAGCACTACCCGCGCCTGCCCTGCCCCCTGCCTCAGAATCCCAGTGTCTTCCCCTCCCTCTGCATACCCCAGCCCGGGCAGCAGCTGCTGGAAGGTCTGCTCCTCCACCCCCAAGACCTATTTTGGGAAGGGGCTGATGGAGGGTCAGCTGCTATCCCCTCTCCCCCTTGTCCCTGCACTCACAAGGCAACTTGTCCACACGCCAGGGCACAGAGTTGGTAAGGAAGCCGGGGCGGGCAGCGGTGACCAGCACCCAGGTCCCCAAGCGGTAACTGAGTGGCAGTGTGGCCACGCCCTCAGAGTCCGTGGTACCAGCAGCCAGCAGGGTCCGGTTCCCAAACACGTCCACTGAGGCCCGGGCCAGGGGCACCAGCTCTCCGCTCACATACACCTGCACTTTGATCAGGATCTCTATGGGCAAGACGGGAGGGGAGCGAGGTGAGAAGGGAAAGAAGGAGGGGGCAATGGGTGGGGAACCCGAGGTTGGAGGACACAGCTGTTGGCTGGGAAAGGCTTTGGGGCTAAGGCTAGAGTGTTGCAGGGCAGCCTGTGGGGAGGTGGTACCAGTATTGTACATTCAGTCTGACCCATGTGCATGCTCCCATTTGAACATTTGTGAATGCAGGCCACTTCTATGATGGATGAAGTTGTAATTACAACTGGTAACATTTCTTCCACTCTTAGTGGTGCGTGAAATAATGGTGTGTCTAACAGTGATTGGTGCCCTACATGTTCGGCCAGCCCACTTGACAGACAAGGAAGCGGAGGTGCAAAGGCACTTTGATGCCTTCAGACCAGAGAGCTGGGATCCAAACCTTGTAATTTGCTGCTAGAACATCAGTTCTTCACCAGGTGACCAGGACAGGACAGGGGTGGAGGGCTGGGGAGGAGGCCTGCAGGTGCAGTAGAGAGATTTGGGAGGATGGAGGCAGGGCTCGAACTTGAGCTCTCAGAGGGACATGTAGAGGAGGACGCTGGAATGTGGCCTCTGTCATCATCCAAGCTCTTCCCAGGAGCGCTGGCACAAGCCTGTGCCCCTGCAAGCTGAGACTGCCCCAGCCCCTATCCCGTGACCCTCCCCTCCCTTTGCCTGCCAGCCCCCTCCCAGCTGGTCAGCTCCGGACACCATGGCAACGCCCTCATTCCTCCCAGGAGGCCTAGGAGCTGGGGCCCTGACAAGGGGAAGGAGATGGGGGGCAGGGGCAACCCAGGCCCAAGGCAAACCAGGATGGGAAGCCCAAGTCTGTGTCTGGCCAGGGCCACCTCTGGCCACAAGCCTGAGGATAGTCCAGCCAGCCCGTGGTGTTCTGGAATGGAGTGGTGGGGGAGGGGACAAACCTTCAGCTGTTCCCAGGCTTCCCTAGTAGCCCCTGACCCATGGCGCTATTGACCCCTGCCCACGTACTCCACTGCCTGGCCACCAGTTGTGGGTGTCACGCCTGGCAGAGTACTGAGGCCCCGGGTGTGCAGCCCAGGAGGCAAGCAGGGGGAGAAGGTTGACAGGGCTTTGGATGCCAGCCAAGGAGTATGGCACTAACAGCGGGGCAGAGGGACCACAGGGACCTTAGGATGGCCTTTCTGGGAGTGGAGGCGGATGTTCAGCTGTGACAGGTGCCTCAGCTCGGGTTTCCCATGCCAAGGCCAGTGCCATGCCTGCCCCTGGCATCTCCTCCAGCTGTTGGCCAGGGCGCACCCTGCAGGTGGGCGTACACCCTGGACCAGCTCTGACATGGGTTCTCCACAGCCCTGCCCCCTCCCCACCCAGCAGGAATTCTGAGAAGCAGCATGGGCCTGGCCACACCCCAGCTCCACTCAGGGCTATAGCAGCCGGATAGAGCAGCTGGCATGGGGGCCCCCCAGGAGGGTTCTGAATATGTTCATCTGAGGGAATGCCTTAGGTTCAAGCCCCCGAACAGAGGCTGGGTGAGTCCAGCAGGTGAACCCCAGGGCAGTCTCAGGCCCCTGCCCCAGGCGCCATGGGTGCCCACAGGCAGCATGGGTGCAGAGCAAACTCCCTTCCTCGTTGCCCAAAGCCCGGGCTCTCAGCCAGCTGCCTGAGGAAGCCCCTTGGCGCTGTGCCAGCCAATTCCCTGGGCGCCCCCTCCTTCCTGGGGTGCAGGGCCTCTTCCTCCAGAGAGGAGACTGAGACATAGGGACCCATCCTTACTCAATCAGCTGAACCCTGCCCCATTCCAGGGGGCAACCCTTCCTTCATCCAGACCCCACCTCCCCCAGCCAGACCCGACCCCCCAGCTCTTTGGAAGTGGTTGTGATGCTTGCTGTCACAGGCAGGAGAGAGGACAGCGGCGTGGGCTGAGAGGTTGGTGCAGGGCTGTGGTGTGCAGAGAAGCCGTGGGTGCCGGGCTTGGGGGGCAGTGCTGTCAGGGGCTCCCTCAGTCACCCTCTCTGGCTGCAGCAACCAGCCCCACCCCCATCTCACACACCCACCCGGACCCGAGGAGGTACTCGGAGGTGAGAGAGGCAGGGATGATCTGGGGGCCCAGCAGGGGACAGGAGTGGCTGGCTGTGGATCTAGGCACCAGCTCTGAGAGCTGGCACTGCCCTCAGCCTGCCAGCAGCTCCACATGGCTCTGCGACCACAGCCCTGCCCCAGCACCCTGAGCTGAGAACCACAATGAACCCCTTTTCTCGGAGTCCTCCCGGCTGTACCCCCTCCTCCATTACCAGTCAGTTAGTCTTGATTTGTGTGCACCCCAATTCTTCATCTGGGGGGCGGGCTGGGAGCTGTCGGGCTCCAGGGCCAAGAACCCCGTTAGAGCGAGCAGTCAATCCCGCCCACCGCCTCACCCACTCCCCTTCTCCCCTCCCCCCTGCACATCCAGCTCGAGGCGCCCAGCCCCCGTTCGGGCCCAGGGTGGCAGCCGATGCTTGCGCCCCCACCCAGCCGGGGTCCAGAGCGAGGGCCCCGCGGGGCGCTGCGAACCCGGCGCCCGCCCCAGCCCGCCCCTGGGCGGGTGTCTTCGGTAGACAATGGCTCAGACTGCAGCGCCTCGCGGACCAGAGGGAGAAAAACAAGTCGCGAGGGGGCGGCGGCGCGGAGCCTGGAGACCCCCGCCCTCCCCATTGTGTCTCCCCGAGACCCCCGCCCCTGGCTGTTCCCCTCTCTCCCCCTCCCCACCTCCGCGTCTTCCCCCCACCCCCCCGCACCGGCAGCAGCGACCCCAGGTCGCCTTGCTCCCCTCACCCACATTCACCCTCGATTCAGCAGCTCGGCGAAAAGAGGCTGGCGGGTGGGGGGCCCGATCGAGGGCGGGGGGCGCAGGCCCGCGATCGCGGCCCCTGCGGACCGACACTCACCCTGCGGGCTGGGGGGCTCCGGCGGTGACTTGCCGGGCGCCCGGGAGGCGCCGCCGAGCAGCAGCCCCAGCAGCGGCAGCAGCCGCGCGAGGACGCTGGGGCCACTCGGCGGCGGCATCGCGGGGCTCGGGCGGGCTCTAGCGGTCCATAGCTCCCGCACGGCCCCGCTCGGCCGGCCCCGCGCGCAGCCCCGGCTCTGCGCGGTGCGGCTCGGGCTCCCGCTCCGGCTGCGGCGCCTGCTCCGCGCGATTGTCTCCGCCCGGAGCCGGCCGCCAGCGCCCCCTGCAGGCGGCGCCCCCACATCGCGCCCGCGGTGCCGCCCCCTCCTCCGGCCCCCTGGGCTCTGCCCGCCCTCTGCCCACCCTGCAGCCGCCCACCCACCCCCCGTTCCCAAACTCCTTGTTGCCAAACGGTGTGGCTGTCGCGGGGGTCCCTGGGGCTCGAAACGAACCCTGAAGTTTGTTGCAGAAATTGTGGGGGGTGGGGAGGAACGATTTGCTTACAACATAACTTGGGAAGTGTCAAAAGTTCCAGACACCCTGCTCGCCTGTTCCCGTGGGCGCAGCCCTCATGCAGCGGGAAGGGAGCGGGCAGCTCCTTGACCGTCAATGGAGTCTAGGCTCGGCTCTAGCTTCTGCCTCTCCCAACCCGGGAAGAGTTACTTAGCTTCTGGTGCTCAACTTACCTGTAAAGGGGGGGTGGGGTAGCAGTCGGAGTGTGATCAGGGTAGAGCTGTGATGACTCACAGGTGCAGGGGCAAAAACATCGGCCACATATGTTGGGGACCAGAGGTCTGGCTTCAAAATTTACACACTGGGTCTTCTCTCTCTCACCTTCCCTTACATTGGAAGACCCCCGTTGGCTGGAGCTGACCCCAGCCCAGCTGTCTCCTTTCTAGTCTGATAATCTCATCATTCAGTTTCTGGGTGGCCAAATTCTCTTCTAATCTGGTGGTGTGTTCCTTTCTGGGTTCCCTTGGTTTGTCTCCCCTCCACCTCATTTTCTCATAGCCACAATGGCTGGAGCTGAGCTGATCCAAAACCAAGAACCAGAAGCGTCTTCTAGGTCTCCCATATAAGTGCAATGTCTCAAGGCTTTGGGCCATCCTCCCCTGCTTTCCCAAGCCACAACCAGGAAGCTGGCTGGGAAGTGGAGCAACCAGGGTTTGAACTGGCGCCCACATGGAATGCTGCCATTGCAGGCAGAGGATTAGCTTGCTACATCACTGCACCAGGTCCTGTCACCTCTCTTTGTCACTATGCCCAGGAGGGGATTGCCTGCCTGGAGTAATGACAGTCCCAGAGGGAAGCACATAGTGACAAAGACAGGTTGGACGCCCTGGTTGGGTCTTCTGATTTAAGGTGACCTCATGTGTGATTTTGTGGACAAAATCAAGATTATTTCTTCCTTACTTTTATTTCCTCTCTTCTTCCTTCTCTTCTGTCCTTCCATATTTTTTCCTTCCTTCCACCTTTCTCTTGCCTTTTTTTTTAACAGAAAATTTTCCTTTAACCAGACTTCCCAGCCCTGCTCCTTACATCATCACCAAGTTTTTGTAACTTCAGTACAGGATTTAGCACTCGTGCCTGGTAAGTTTTGCCTTGTTGGTTTCAACCCAACTTTTACAATCTGTTGTGTCGGCTTCAGCCGGCCCTAGCGTCCAGCTCCCCACCAGCCAGCAGCTGTCTGCCGAGAAGAGTGACTTCCGCTGCCAATTCCTGGGACTCGGACAGTGTGGCCGTGGGCTGGAAGGGACTCAGGCCTGCACCCTGGCCTCAGGGGTTGGCTTACCCTTCCGTCTCATCATCACAGGCAAATGCCAAGTGCTCTGCTGGCTGAAGATAAGTTGTCTGGGGCCATCCAGTGGTGATGACGGAGCAAGGGAGGGAATTTGGCTGGCATTCAAAAATCATGGTCGAATCTTTTCTTACAATTAGCTTCCAACTAGGAACCTGTTCTGGAACTTGCTATGCATGATACCAAATTGTTCGGTACATTCACCAAGCCCTTTAGCTAAAATCCTAGTAGCTCTTTGGAGGGAGGCGCGCTGTGTTCACCAATGACATCCCCCAACTCTACACTTAGCATTTCTTTTTAAAGATTATCTTACTTATTTGAAAGATGATAGGGAGGGAGGGTGGGGAGAAATGAAAAGGAAGAGACAGAAAGAGATATCTTCCACCTGCTGGTTCTTTCCCCAGATGCCCACAACAGCCAAGGAGGCTGAGCCAGGCTCATGCTAGGAGCCAGGGACTCCATTCTAAGTCCCGCACGTGACAGACTCTGGGTTGTTGAGACCTGCTGCCCCCTTATTAGGCAGCAGGGGCCCTTACAGAACCATTCCAGCCAGTGGGCATCTGGGCCAGTAGCAGGAGTTGGGGAGGGAGCACAGGTGGCAGGCCCTGCCTTCCCGCAGGCACTGAGTGTGGATTGTCCAGTCATTCCTCGTCTTCATCGTCCAGGGGTGGCCGATTCCGCTTGAAGAAGCCAGCCTGAGGGTGAGAGCATCAGTGGGGAAGGACGGTGCTGCAGCATCCTCTGCCTGCACCTGCTCGGGACGCAGCACAGGGCATCTCCATGCAGCCCTGGTCCCATTTGGGCTCCCGGCTCAGGACACATGGTGGGCTCGACCATCATTTCTGGTTTTTCCTTTGTGTCTCTCTTTGACTCAAGCACAGGACAACATTGCTCTAATCCTTGTAAGCTCAGTCTGGGGCTGCCATCTCCTTCTTTTCAGGATTTGGCCCATGCTCTCCTCTCCGGGCAGGGGCAGAGAAACTGGCAGAAGGTTCTAGATCTGCCCCTGGCTTTCCTGTCTCAGAGAGAAGGACAGAGCCAAGGTAGGGGACAGTTGTGCTACCAGCAAATCTAGAAATCAGGACTCATATCCTGTGGCTTCTTGCAGGTTCATAGAGGGGAGGCAGTGTGCTTAAGGCCTTAGGAATCCAGGCGGGCCGCTTGGAGGGGCACACTGGGACAGGTGGAGCTCTCGCCCTTTAGGGTCTTTCTACTTCTCTGTGAGGTAGCACCTAGTCCAGCCTGTGCCCAGCAGGGACTCTGCCAACGCACATCACTCACCTTCCACATGGCCAGGACCAGGAGGGTGAACAGCAGGAGGCCGCCCAACACGCCCAGCAGTACCCACCAGACTGGGACAGCCCGCTCCTCCAGGATGCGCTGCAACTGAGTCTGCACCTGTTGGCAAATGTGGAGTCTCCTGCCTGCAGGCCACAGCTCAGCCCCTCAGCCCCAGAAGGTCCCAGTACACACACACACACACACACACACACACACACACACACACACACACACACTCACTGACCAGAGCTTCCCCACTGGGCAGACTCAGCGCAGGCACCGCGTAAGGGAGGGAGGAGACGTTGAACCAGGCATGCGACTGCAGCACGAACTGATCCAGCGGCCTCTGGAGAGGGCAGGAGCGAGGGTCACACACACTAGGCCCTCCATAGTGGGCCTGCGCCCCCTGGTCAGTCGCTCCCTCGCTCTAGTCCCGCCCAAAGCCCCGCCCCCAGAGGCCCTGCCTCTACCTCGCGGAGGCGGGGCAGCCCCAGCAAGGCCAGCACGGTGACCATGGCTCGCTGGCCGCGCTCCATCTCCTGCAGCTCACATTGGACCACGGTGCAGGGCCCGGAATCACAGCTCTGGGTGCAGATGGGGGCATTTGAGCGGTTCCCGCTTCTCCTGGTCCCGCACTCTCCACTTCTTCCCCCGCGAGCGCCCCCACCCTCGCTCCTCTCACCACTAGGACGGGATCCTGAGGCTGCAGGGGCTCGGGCAGCAGGGCGTGCCTGCGCTCCCGCTTGTGCTGGATCGGGAGCGGGGGAGAAGGGCTGGCAGTGGGCAGCTTCCAGCTCAGCTGCGGAGGTCAAAGAGCAGTCAGGGCTCCCAGAGGTGCCCCGACTGTGGGGGTGGGGACCGCCCTCCTCCCCTAGTGTCCTCTTACCATGAGAGGGTTGGGGGAGGGCTGTGAGGAGCACTGGAGGCCCCCCTGCGGCTCTATGCCCAGGATATAGAGCAGGTCCGAGGGCTGAGATTGGCCTGGCAGATGGATGCTTAGGTGGAGACCCCGCACAGTGCCCGGTCCGTTGTTGTGGAGCTGTCGGGGGGTGAGGGACAGGCAGCAAGTGGCTCAGCTGCAGCATGGGCCTTCTGGCCTCAGCCAGCACCCTGTGGGTCCTGCCTACCTCGTAGGTGTGCTCCACTTTGAAGTCCAACTTGTTGTGTTCCTGGTCACCTTCCTCTGCCACCACCAGGGAGGCTGGGAAGGAGTTCCTGCAAATGCCCAAGGTGCACCAGGTGGATGAGCGGGGAACTCGCATCCCAGAGACCCCTGACTTCTCCCCTTACCATCTTTGCCCTCTTACCCCCGCAGCTCCACTTGGGCCTCTGCCCGGACAGGCACATCCAGTGGCAGGACTTCACTGTTGGGATTCTGGCTGTTCTTGCTGGGAGAGTGAGGGGATAAAGGGGGAAGAGAAGTAGGTTGCATACACCAATTCCAGCCCCAATCCCTAGGCACCAGACCCAGCCCTTAGCCCCCAGCCCTAATCCCAACCCCTAGTCTCTAGCTTCCAGCCCTAATCCCCAGCCTCAGCCCCAGGCCCTGGCCCCTCCCCACTCCTTCCCAGAGAGGGCTAAATGCAGGCTGCAGTGACAATTGGGAAAGAACTCCCTGGAGTCAGAAGTGAGTGCCTAATGTGAGGAAGGCTCTTGGAGGACCTATCTGCAGGCATGGCTGAGGGTCCCTGCCTCTGGGCCCCATAGGGGAGCCATGGCTAGGGTGCTCCCAAGCCAGCCCAATACCTCCTGATCTGTAGCAGGAAGGACACGCTGTTCCCGACCTCTTCCAGCTGCCCCACGCTCACCAGCACCGTTATCCCTATCTGGGAGCCAGACAGGGTCAAAGTCAGCGTGCACAAACCCTCTGTGAGCAGCACTGCCTTGAAAGTGGTCCTTGGGCATCTCCTCCCAGATCACCATCCCCATTTTGCCCAGCCACCTGCTGGGAAAGGGAAAGATGCTTCCCCAGGGACACACAGCAGCCAGGGGTGTGTGGGCTAACCCTGGGCCATGTGACTCTAAAACCTGGCCCCTGGCAGTGTGGAGCCCAGCCCTGGCCTTACCCTTGCTGCTTTCTTCATGGGGTTGCCCAGCTCACATAGCACCACCTTGCTCTCATTCTCCTTCCGCTGGTTACAGATGAGCCTCTCCAAGCCCTGTGCGGAAGAAGCACCCAGGAAGACACTGTGGCAGCAGTGGGCCATGTGGGAAGGGAGTTGGGGAAGATTTGCGTGCCTGGGTGCGCAGGGCCATTTTGGGAGGTGGGATTCTGCTTTTATGTTGTTATTGCCCTTTGTCATTTTTTAAAAAATAAATTTTCATTTTGGGAAGTAACAACCAAGGGGTGGGGAGAAGCAAAGCATTATGCAAGGGTGTGACCCCCCCCTTTTGTTATAAATAAGAAAAATTAATATGCGAGGATGCTGCAAAAAAAATTGTGGACATTAGAATTAAAAAGAGAAGTCATTTATGCTCAAAAACATTTGAAATCTATTCATAGGTTTTTTTTCATATTGCACATTTTCCATGCACTTTTTTGCAGCACCCTCATATACTCATGTAAGTATTGGGGTATATTTTCATTATACTTTTATTATATTTAGAGGGAAAAACTGGACAGAGGTTCCAGTTATCACTGGGTTTGGGAAACATTTGAGGGATTTTGTCAGTGGAGTTGTTAAATTCAGTGCCATTAGCAGGGATTCTTCCAGGCAGGCAAGCAAGCAGTTCACCTTTGAGAGCAAAGCCTGCAATGGAGTGCGAGCTCAGAATTGGGGTTCCTGTGTAGTACCCCTGAGAGGGGCTCACCTCCAGGTTGCTTAGGGCCCGCATGTAGTGTGCTCCAGGAGGCAGGTGCATGGCCAGCTCAGCCTCGTAAGCCCCCTCACCCTCGTTGGTTGCGACCAGCTGCAGCTCCAGCACGTTATCAGCCCCAACCAGGAGTGGGGAGCCTGTCCTGCAGGGGAAGAGAAGAGAGGGCTGCGAGGGGCGGGGGGGGGGGTGCTGCTTCGGGGGTGGAGCAGCAGGTCTCTTGGGGTAGAGAGGGCTGGGCGGGGTGTGGGGTCCCCTTACACGTTAGCAGTGAGCTGCAGCTGAGGCACGCAGAGGTCATCTTCCCCACAGTCCAGGATGATGCGGGTCTGGGGGGGCACCAGAGAGTGTGGGGGTAGTAAGCAAGGGCCCCACGGGGGTTAGGAAAACAGCAGTGGGTTTGGGATTCTTTTTTTTTTTTTAGCCCCCTCGCGGGGGAACCCCCATGAGGGGAGCCTGGGGTTCTTGTCAGGGCCTAGGGAATAAGAAGATCTGAAGCTGGAGCTAGCATTGTGGCATAGGGAGTTAAGCTGTCACTGGGGATGCCAGCAGAGAACCCAGCTGCTTCACTCCTGCTAATGTGCCAGGGGAGCTGCAGTAGCAGACAGCCAGGATGGAGTTCCAGGCTCCTGACTTCAACCTGCCCAGTCCCGGGTTTTGTGGCTATTTGGGGAGTGAACCAGTGGGTAGAAGTTCCTTCCTCTCCCTATTTCTCCCTTTCTCTTTCCCTCTCTCTGTAATTCTGCCTTTCAAATTAAATCTTAAAAAAAAAAAAAAGAAAAAGAAAAAGAAAAACAAGAGCTGAAGCAGAAAAAGACTTTGGAGACAACATTAGGGTATCGGGGCTTATGTGAAGGTTTGAGATGCTGGTGGGTTCTGTTGGTGATACTAGGGTTTCTGAGTTTATATCAAAGTTTGGGGACGTTGAGATTTGGCAAGCTTATATACATATATATAAAATATATACATATATACCCCACCAACACTGAATTATCTGAGAGGCAAAAAGGGAGAAGCAGGCAGTGCCACTGGCTCACTCGCCATATGTCCCAAAGCCAAAGTTGGGAACTCAACCTGAGTCACCCATGTGGGTGGCAGCGAGACACCATCACTGCCTCCCAAAATCTGTCACCAAAGGCTGGAGTCAGGCACTGGCCTGGACCCATGTACCCTGATAGGGATGTGGGCATCCAGGTAGGCCAAATACCTGCCGCCCATTAGGATCTGGAGGAACAGCAGACGTTACAGGAGAGAGCAAGGTGTGGGAGGCATATTATGACTTGGACACTACCCCAAAGCAGAATTTCTGTCAGGGGTTCTGCCCTTGCCCCTGCCTGTCCCTACCCATGCCCACCTGTTCCTGAACATGTGTGTCTCCATGCAGGACAACGTCAGGAGCCACCCCAGCTCCCTTGGGCTGTAAGGACACGTTGAAGCTAAGCATGATGGGGCTCAGCTTGTCCCGGAAGTCAGTCTCATCCTAGGAGAGGCATGAGAGTCAGGCCATCCTGTCACCATGCATATTCCCTCTTCTGGGTAGGGATACAGGCAATTGACCTATAGCAGCCAGCCTGGTGCTCCAGGTTGTGTACCCCCACCCCAGCCCCACCCCAGCCCCACCCCAGCCCTGCTCCAGCCCTGTTCCAGCCCTGCTCCAGCCCTGTTCCAACCCTGCTCCAACCCTGCTCCAACCCGGGGCATACGCGAAGGAAGGCTGTAGTGTTGTAACACATGGGACTCTGCTTCCCGCTCAGGTCAATGCTGAAGATTGTGCTGGCCTGCTGGGAGTCCAGCAGAAGCACTCGGCGGCCCTGGCGGGGCTTCTGCCGGTCCAGCTGTAGCTCGGCGGACAGGGCTGGCAGAGTGAGCCAGAAGTGGGCTCAAGATCTTCAGGGGAGAGGCAGGGGGTCCAGGTCATCCCTGCATCCTCCAACCCCCAAGTGCTCTTGGTCACTCACATAGCCTCTGGGGAATGTTGTGCCCAGTGACTCCCACACACATCTGGATCTTGAAGCTGTGAGGACATGAGTGGGTTCAGGGACCAGGGCGTGGAGCCCAGGGACTCCAGATCCCCAGGGCTTCCCACCCTGGCCTCCTCACCAGCTCACGGGGGTGTTGGTCTGGTGCAGGACACAATTCTTCACAGCAGGATTCAACGAATCTTGCACCTGCAGCCAGATGCTGGCCATGACCACGGGCCGGGCTCTAATGGGATGGAGGCAAGCATGTCTTTGTGGACCTTTAGGGTCAGCTTCCTTTTATATCCCTACCCCTGCCCCACCTGGCCCCAGCACTGACCTGTACACAACCACCTTGTTGACTCCGTAAGCTCCCACCAGCAGGTCTGAGCTCAGTGGAGGATGGATGGGAATTGGCAATTAGAAAGGGCATGGGAGGTTAGGGGTAGGTCATCATCTCATCTTCCCGGGGATTCCATGCATCCCTGCCCTGTGGGAAGTTTTCCCTGCCATCTCCCCCAGGCTTCCCAGCCATGTCTAGGGGTTGAAGTCCCCATGTCATGTTTGGGCCTCCTTTCCTGTCTGGGCACTTGGCAGCCAGGGCCTGCCTGCTCTGTCTGGAGCTAGTCCCGAGGCACCTGGGTATCCATTGTCATCGATGTCTGTGGCACCTCGCAGGGAGAAGCCAAAGCCAGAGCCCGCGGGGAAGGGGCTGTCCAGGACCTGGGATGGACGTGAGCTCAGCCCCTCGCTCTGGCCCAGGAATACCAGCACTTGGCCCCGACCACTTGGACCACCGTAGGGCGCAGCCACTGCCACATCTGGAAAGGGTGAGAGAGGGAGCGATTGTCTGATTCCCTCTCCTCCCACTGCATCATGAGAGGGATGGGTTTCTGAGTCCAGGGCATGGCTGCCCACCATCCTTGAGTTTACAGTCAGGTGGGAGAGAGATGTGTCAAGCCAGATTGTTTAAAAAAAAGAAAAGAAAACAAACAAAGAAAACAGCAAGAGACTTCACTATCTGTCGAGGAAAATTCATGGACAAGATTTCATTTCATCCTGAAAATTAGACATTATTGTCCCAATTTTAGTTAAGACACCATGAGGTCCAGCATATTAAGTAGCCAAGGTCTCTTCAAATCATGCAGACCCCAACTTGCCCTAGGGTCCTTCACATTCCCCTGTGCAAACTTAGACACATGCTACAGTTTGTGATTAATACTTTTTATGATCATCTTTGAAAATGAGAGTGTTTGATTCTGACAGAGCAAGTCTTCAATATGCACATTGCAACTGCCTTCCAATTTTGCTGATGGCACGTTTGCTACGCAGCTTTGTAAAAATGTCTATCTGTGCTGATAGTTCTGCCTTTGCCATGTCCTCAGCTTTCTTGCGCCACTTCTAGGGCTGGGTAAGCCCAGCTGGACCACAGCTTGGGCGAACTCTACCCAGCGAGTTCAGCCAGGGGCTCTGGGAATCCCCGAAGCACCAGCAGTGCCCCCTGGCGGCTGCTGGGGTCTGGTCACTTCTCCCAGTTGGCTGTCTCCATCTATCCAGCGCTCCATGATTCACATCTGTGAGCTCTCCTCTCTGACCTCTCAGGTACCAGCAGTCCCACCCTAGTGCTGAGAATCCACACCTGCTTCCCTCCTCCTGTACACAGTTGACACTGAAACAGGTGTCTCTCCTTTGACCTGAAACTGGGCTGAGCATGCCCCGCAATGGGCGTTCTGAGGACCTTCCCGTTCAGCCCTTTATGTCCCCACAAAATGCATTTTCTCCACATTTGAGTTGCTCCATTTTCTTGCAAACAAAACTATCTTTCCTTGGGCCCGGCGTCATGGCCTGGCGGCTAAAGTCCTTGCCTTGAACGCACTGGGATTCTATATGGGCACCGGTTCTAATTCTGGCAACCCACTTCCCATCCAGCTCCCTGCTTGTGGCCTGGGAAAGCAGTGGAGGACGGCCCGAGGCCTTGGGACCCTGCACCTGCATGCGAGACCTGGAGGAAGTTCCTGGCTCCTGGCTCCTGGCTCCGGATCGGCACAGCACTGGCCATTGCGCTGACTTGGGGAATGAATCATCGGACGGAGGATCTTCCTCACTGTCTCTTCTCCTCTCTGTATATCTGCCTTTGCAATAAAATCAATCAATCAATCAATAAAATGAATCCTTCCTTGACCCACATCTTTCCATAATGGTCCCTTCTTTTTTCCCCACCCAGAGCCAAACCAGATGGACATGTGTCTTCAATGACGGTTCCTTCTTGACCTCTGTGTACTGTGCCAGTGGCATGCTGCCTTCTGGGTGAGCACATTGCACAGCCCTGGATCAGTTCTTCTCACTGGCCCCTGCTGGAGTCCATGGCTACTTCTGCGGTTCCATCTCTTTGGGTCCAGCAGCCCTGGGAGCACTGGCACCCACTTCTCCCTGGCCGGGGTGCTCTCCTCCTTCCCAGCCAGCGGGGTTCTAGTGTTTCCCTGAGTACACTTCAGTCTGTTGCCTTGATCCATTCTTGCGGGTCTCCTAATGCCCGGGGTCTCTTCTCTTCCCTCTTTCTTCCCCAGGGTCCCGAGTCCCACGAAGACCTCGCCCGTGGAAATGAGGGAAGCCACACCCAGCTGCAGCCTCCCACCCTCTGTGCCCAAGGCCCTAAGGCTCAACAGGTCTGCAGTGGACCCAGGGCAGGGCCTGAATTCTCCGAGGGGCTTCCCCTCCTTCGAAGCCCTATGGCCTGAGCCCTACATCTGCCCTAAATGTCAGGGGACTCCCCTTCCTTCACACTCCTCTGCAGCTGCCAGTGTCCACAGCCACACCCTCTCCACTCAGCAGCCCTGCCGTCCGTCCAGTCCCGCCCTCTTGCTGTGGCTGCTCACCACTCCACCCTCTGCCGTCAGCCCATTGGCTTCTCCATTCCCTCACCATTGTAGCCATCCCGGTTGAGGTCGCCCAAGGGTGCGATGGCAGAGCCGAACCGCCCGTAGAGCTCAGTGCCGGTCAGCAGGAGGCTGTGGTCGCCCAGCAGGTGGGGACCCTTTGGCTGCAGGAACAGGTACACGCGCCCCACCTCGGCCAGCTTGCGGTCTGGGCGGCTCACCATGAACAGCGGGGCGCCCACCAGCAGATCGTGCCTCCTGGGGAGTTCGTCCATTCCTGGTGTTGGCTCGAGAGTTCAGGGCCCAGACTGGCCCGCTCTGCTTCTCTGCCCTCTGGTAATGGGGAACCCCCCCCCCGGTAGGGGTGGGGCATCTCCCTCCTTACCCGTCTCCGTTTACGTCAGTGACAGCTACCGAGTGCCCGAAATACGAAGCCATCTGCAAGAAGATGCCCGGCACCTGAGCTCGCACCTGCTTTGGATCCAGAACTCCGACTGCCCTTGCGGGGCCTCTAAGTATTCTGGGTTCTCACAGGCCGGCCCCCACCTGTTCTCCCAAAAGCCGGAATAGAGTCTGGCCGTAGGAATCCAAGATATCCACCTGCAGGGAGAGCGTGGTGAGGGCACGCTGCTTGGGCTCCCCTTAGAGTGGCGGGGCCGGGCTCTGGAAGTGGGGACAGGACTTTGGGGGGCCGGTGGGACGGTGAGGAGGGGGCGCTCACCGCTCCCCTGGTCCAGCTCCAAGTGGGGGCACTGACGACATACTCTAGGGGAAGAGATGGGCTTAGTCAATGGGGTCCCCGGAACCTCCTCCCTGCCCCCCATTCTGCGCTCACAGGCAAGGTTTCGGGATGCTTCTCCCCCAAACCCCTTTCTTGCCTGTGGTGTTGAGGTCGCCGTCGAACTCGCCTACGGCCACTGAGTACCCTAAGAATCAATTAACGACTCATGAAGCAGGAGGGAAAGAGGGGTCGCTGGCCAAGAGGGGGGTCCTCCAGGAGGCCGCCCGGCCCGGATGCCCAGGCGGGAGGCGCCCCCTTACCTCGGTAGCCGTCGAAGTACTTGGGGTGGCTGTAGTCGGAGGTGAAGCTCTGGGTGAGCACGTTCCACAAGAGTTTTCCGGGCCGGTAATTCGAAAGGATGTCGTCAATTGAAACCCGGATCAGGAACCCTAGGACGCGGGGGAGGTAGGAGACGTGTGGGGGTCCAGGCGCCAGGGGCCTCCCGGGGCCTCCAGATCAGGTAGGCAGATGGGCTTGCCCCGCACGTACCCAAGAAAAAATAGCCGCCCGGGGCTCCGAGCACCAGCTCCCCGGCCTGGAAGGGACACCGGGCGGGTCAGAGGCGGGGTGCGATCCCGTTTGGGAGTCCCCACTTCAGGTTTTGGCCCCCGCCCCAACTTGCCTGGGTGACCGCGGAGCTGAAGCCCGCTTCGCAGTAGCGTTTGTCATTTTCTAGGAGAGAGGGCGTGACCAGAGTCGGGAGGCGTGGCCGGGAGTCGGGGAGGCGTGGCCGGGGGGTCAGGGAGTGGCCGGGAGTCGGGAGGCGTGGCCGGGGTCGGGGTGTGGCCGGGAGTCGGGAGGCGTGGCCGGAGTCGGAGGGGCGGGGCCGCCTAATGGACTGGGCAAGGTAGGGCAGGGTGGGGACATGGCACCTACGGAAGTCATTGGCTTTGTAGGTGCTGCTCATGATCTTGTCCCGGCAGGGCGAGTACTCTGCGCGGCTCCCGCTTTGCAAGTGAGCCAAGAAGCATCCACCCACGGGCGTCTTCTCGGCTTCATTGGACTTTTCTAGCACGTTCCAGTGTTGCCAGGGGGCGCAGGCCTAGAACAGAGCCACGGGGGAGTGGGACAGGGATTGAGGCTTGGATTCCCTAGTCCCCAGCTTGTCCCTGTCCCCCAACCCCGGCTGCTGGCGTCCCCAGGGCAGGACGCCCACCACAATCATGTCTTTCCAGCTGACGACTGACGCCCCCAGGCCTTGCCGGGCCTTGAAGATCTGGAAGCTTTGGGAGCTTGTGTTGCTGGTCTCATCGCCTGGAGGGCACAAGAAGGGGTGGAGCATTGAGTCCCTGCTGTCCACCGCCCTTTTTGGCTTCCCCCGCCTCCATCCTTGCCTGGGACTCACGGAGATCGAAGGTCAGTGGGCTGCACTGGCTGCCCTCAGCCCTCCAGGGGCACAGGAACACGCCACCCGTCTCCTCCTGGCCACGGCCCAGGGTCCGCGGGGCGCCCACCACGATGGCCACGCTGCGCAGGAAAGGCCGGTGAGTGCGGCGCAGGAGCTGGCCTACCCTGCTCCCCGCCTCCCCAGGCCGCTCCTGGGGCCCCTGCCCACAGCTGTGTAGCAGAGGACCTGGACATTCTTCCTCAGTGGGACCTCGACTTCATCTTGTGGGCAGTGAAACCGACCTTCAGGGAGGGACATCACATGCCTAGAATAACCTAGTGAGTTGACAACCTGGGACTGATCCTTTGGTTTGATTTGAACAGGAAGGGCTTGGTATCCTTGAGAACAATTTCTCCTGAGGTCTGTCACCATCTCCACCTCTTACTGCCATTATGCACCAGGGCTGGCAGGCTCCCAGCTCTCCCGGAGGGCGTAATCTCCCCTCTCCGTTCTGCCATTTGTAAATGAGGGATGCCACTAACCAATGTCACCACCAGTCAGTGCACTAAATGCTTAAGGGACATCCAGCATGGTCCCACAATCACTCACACAGTTACACACACTCACGCATACTACAGACACTCACACACTCTTACATACACTCACATGCATACTACACATACTCACACTCACACTGACACTCATACTCATATATATATATATATATATATATATATATATATATATATATATGCCTTGTATTGCAGGGTGTCTACTAAGCAGCACCCATGAGACAGGTGACTTTCAGGAAGGGGAAGGAAGCAGAGATGGGCGAAGCAAGTAGCTGAGCTGAGATCCAGGGACAGTAAACCTGGAGCTAGAACGACTCTTCCAAATTGTCTGTTGCAGTTGAGACCAGCTGTGATGCCAGCATCCTACGTCAGAGTGCCATTCGAGCCCTTGAAAGGGCAGTGGAAGATGGCTCAAGTCCCTGGGCCTCTGCCCACTTGGGAGACTCGGGTGAAGTTCTGAGCTCTTGGCCAAGGCCCAACTCTGATTATTGTAGCCATTTGGGGAGCAAACAAGCAGGTAGAAGGCCTGCTCTAGCCCTCTCTCTCCTTGTTGGAATCTATTTCAAATAAATACAGTCTTTAAAGGGTTGAGCTGAGGCAAGAAGGCAGACCCATTTACTTCCCAAACATTTCTCACTGTTCACTGACTGTGGACTCCCTTGGAAAGGGAATTGCCTTGGGGTAAAGTGGTTCTCTTCAGCAGAGAAAATCCCCCAAGTGGCTGACAACTGAAGTCCCCATTCCTTTAAAATGATTGGCTCAGGGTGATACAGATATAAGGAGAAGGACCCGGGGGAGGAGGGATATGTCACTGAGGCAAAACACACGAAGCCACTGCCTATGATGCCAGCGTCTCATATGACTGTGGGTTTGAGTCCTACCTGCTCCACTTCTTTTCTTTTAGATTTACTTGAAAGGCAGAAAGAAAGAAGAAGATAGATAGATAGATAGATAGATAGATAGATAGATAGATAGATAGATAAAATATATCTGCCTCTGGTTTACTTCCCAAAAAGCTACAATGACCAGAGCTGGGCTGGTCTGAAGCCAGGAACTGAGAGCTGCCATGGGTCTCCCACATAGGTGCAGGGGCCCAAGCACGCTTCACTACTCTCCCAGGTGCATTAACGGGGAGCTGGTTGGAAGTGGAGCAGCTGCGAACCAACTTGGAGCCCCTATGGGATACTAGCACTGCAGGCAGCAGCTTAGCCCACTGCAAACCAATGGCCAGATTTGCCTCTCCCTCTCTTTCTGTAACTCATTCAAATAAATACATTTTCAAAAGGAGTCGTCATGATTCTAGTCTTGGCAGTGATTCCAAAGCCTGATCAATATCAACCACTAATGACCTACTGTTTCTTTTCGAATTGCTAACAATTTTGATGTGGATGGAAGGAAATGCAGTAAAAAGGCAACATAGGACAGATGCTTTCATACTTTGGCAAATCGGTTGGGACACCATTCTCATCCATTCCCTGTATTCCACCAGAATGAACCTTGGGGTGAAAAACAAGGCATGAAGTCTTGCCTTCTCTTTGTGTCTGCTGGGACTTCCATGCCCATCTCCTCTCTGGTGTTTCTGCCTGACACCTCCCCGGAGCATTCAGGATGGCAGCTCAACCCACAAGGACCTCAGAATTCATCTTGTTCTACTGCTCTCATCCACAGGGAACATGAGAAGTATTGACATGGGGGAGGAGGGTGGCCTTCTCTTTCCCAGTGTCCATTTTCCCCCCAGGACTCACCTTCCATGGCTGTCCTTGTAGAAGTCCAGAGCAAACCCAAAGTGGCTGCCATTAGGGCCTGCATAGAAGGTGAGTTGCATTGGGTCCAGGTTCAAGGCCCAGGCAGAAGGGCCGGCACCAGGTCCCAAGAGCAGCAGGGCCAACTGCAGAAAACACAGGGCAGGCGGTGGACACCAAGCTCTAGCCATCTTCCTTCGGCCACAGTCTCCTAGGCAGGAATGGGTCAGCTCCTTCTCCTTCCCCTCAGTTCCCACCACAGGAAATCTTTCCTTATCAATCCAGAGGCACCTGCTGAGCAGTAGGCAAAGGGCTACAGCCTGGATCCATGTGGTGTTTAGCTCTGCCAGGGAGGGGGCTGTGGCCACCCTGGAGGTGGAGGCTCATGGCTGAGACTCCTCCCTTTTCCTGGGCAGCGCTTTTTACTGAGTCCTGCTGGCTCTGCCTCTTCATTGTCTCTTCAATCTTCATAACTCCATCACCACCATGCTAATCTAGGCCATCACCTCTTTCTTCTTGTGCAGTTGTGAACTGTTAATTTCATTCTAGCCCATAAGTATACAGCTCCTTTCTCAACCCATGGAGTTGGCTGCACTGCTGTGGTGCTCTGTAACTTGGTCCGAGATGGGGGCAGGAATAAGGAAGCTGTTGCTGCTTGATAAGACCCCAGGCTGCCCAATCTTTCTAGATAAAGCATTTACCCTCTTCCTCCTTCCAGGACTTTCGGCAGCCTGTCATGCATTTTGACACAGTCACTCTTCCCTCTTCAACCTAAGGCCAAGTCTTAGGGTAGCCACAGCCGTGCACCTTGTGCTGGTTCAGGGGTGGGGAATATGTTTGGCAGAATGGGCAAGGAGTTGGGGATAAAGTGGAACCGTTCCAGGTTATTCTGGCTCATGGCTCTGAGAGGTTTTGCATGAGCCATTCAGTTGAAGGCAGGTCCTTATTCCTCGCATGATGGGCTTCTTATCCAACTAATCCAAACCTGATTCTGGTGGGGGTCCCTGCCTCTGACTCCTCGGGCTGATGTACACAGGCATAGTAGTGAGCATGCTGGTGAGTCACGGTCTGCCCACTGGACTGTGTGAAGGACTCCTTGAGAGCAAGGTTGCTTTGTGCAGCACCACAGCTTGGTGGGAAGCCCGGCTGCTGGAACTTGGAGTGGAAGCATGTGCCAAGGATGAAAATGCAAACACAGGTGACACAGTGGGAACAATTGCATTGAGAATACAATGAGGAACAAGAGTGCCAAGTCTTCTGCCACTGCAGGTCTTCCCTGAAGCACATTTCTCAGGAAGGCTGTTTCAGAGGTCCACTGGGGATCAAGGAATACAGCCACACTGCTTCCTTATCAGCCTCAACTAGTGTCTTTTTCTGCTTGATCAGCCTGTGCTGTACTGGAGTCCCCTAAGCTCTTTCCTTCTCATACATCACCACCTCAGTGCCCAGTTAAAAATCCTATCCCTTAAGCTTCTTCACTGATGGATTCAAAGTGCTAAGTTCCCGGCAAAGATGTAATACTTTTGCTTAAAGTGCTTAGCCTAGTCCTTAACCAAGTGGCTACTGTGCTACTGGTCCATTTGGTGTAGGTCATAAGATAGTACTTGCTATAAGACTCAGTTGGCGAGATACAAGATGACCATCAAGGATGCTTAGCAAACTTTGTCGACATGAACACAGATAAACACAGCAAAGGGATGGGATGGTGATGCACGCCTTACAAATAAGGTCTATGAAAATAATTTATATTAATTCACCTAAAAATCTTATGAAGGACATACTATTATGTCTATTCTATAATCACAAAAAATGTGGTGCAAGAGTTCCAGGAAATTACAAAACCATGATTCAAACATAAGTTACATGTGAACCCATGCTGAAGTTCTGTCTTGTCAGACAAAGAAGTGGTCTTAGGTATAGGGAATAACTTCAATGAAGACCAACAAAAACCCCACAGAGGTAAATTATATATAAGGAAGAAAAGCAGATAGCTCAGTGCAGAATGCTTAAAGAGAGACTAGGATGTAATGGTGGAAATGAAAGCTTGGGTCAAACCATTGGCTGTACGTGACTTTCATCTGGAAGGATCTGAAGGAGAATCAAAGATTTCTGAAGTCAGAGAATAAGGGAATCAAGGACCAACTGTGCTCCAATTGGGAAGACTGCACTGGCTGTGTGTGGACAGTGACTGCCATCCCTGAGTTCAAGTTGATGAGGTGCACCTGAGGATTTGAAGGCAAGAATAAGAGCAGGCAAAGATTACAGGGAAGCGTTAAAGATAATCAGAAACTTCATGTCCTGGCTTATTGGTAACCGACACTGGGGAACTCGGTGAAGGGAGGCTCAGAATTAGAGTTGGGGTGGGGGAGGAGTTTGACATCAGTTCTTGGACTTCAAGCTGCGGTGATCACACTTCGCAGAGTGTTGATGAGAGTTCCTAACACTCTCAGCCATCAGCTAGAATCCTGGATTCCTTCAGTGAATTCAGTTCTGTAAATGCTTCTACTATGTGCTAGGCATCGAGCTAGTGATACAGAGGTTACAAAATTGAAAGTAACTGAACACTTCCTTGCTCCATCCAGAGGTACACCCCTCAGCAAATATTTAGTTTGTATATTTTTCTTGAGTGTGTAATTCAAAGGTTTATGCTCTCTAAGATACGGCAATGGGTGAAAGAAAAAGGAAACAGAAGCCGGGGGTCTCTAGGAGGTCATGATTTCACTGGGAGGCAGCGAATGCAAAATGGATTGCATGGATCCTGGAAATTCAGTAATGTGAGACCAGGAACTAAAACCTGGTTAGAGATGCCAGCCAGGAAACAGCTGGCATCATTCAGACACAAGTTAGTAAGTCTCTAGCCAATAAGCATGAATGTGGCTGTCAAGCCCCAAGGTGGTCCTCAAGGGAGAGCGGATGAGGTTTTCAAGGCTCAAAACAAGGGAGCTGGGCCCGGTGCTGTGCCCTAGTGCCTAAAGTCCTTGCCTTGCACTTGCCGAGATCCCATATGGGCGCCAGTTCTAATCCCGGCAGCCCCACTTCCCATCCAGCTGCTTGTGGCCTGAGAAAGCAGTTGGGGACGCTCCAAGGACTTGGGACCCTGCATCCGCATGGGAGACCCAGAGGAGGATCTGGGCTCCTGGCTTTGGATCCGGGCAGTGCCGGCTGTTGCGGTTGCTTGAGGAGTGAATCTCTGTATATCTGAATTTACAATAAAAATAAATAAATCTTAAAAACAAACAAAAAAACCAAGGCAGCTGTACCCACCTGCACCTGGCATGCACCGTGCAAAGACACTCTGCCTGTTCTCTTCCCAACTCTCAGAAAATCATTTTTCATTTCCCTAGAACCCTTTCTTTCTGGTAAGACTTACTATTTTAAAAACAATGGTGGATCTGAGCACTCACTGCTGTGTTCAGGCTCAACAGCCTCCCTGTAGGTGAGGCATGAACATAGCTGCATCAGAGCAGGGAACACTGTTCTTCGACAGGAGGGGACAGACTTGCCACGGCACAGCAGGTTCCCATGCTAACTTGTCCCTGTATCTTTTGATTGAAATGGAAGGGTAGGATTAAAAAAATATATATATCTCCGGGCCCGGTGGCATGGCCTAGTGGCTAAAGTTCTCACCTTGAACGTGCCGGGAATCCCATATGGGCACCGGTTCTAATCCCAGCAGCTCCACTTCCCATCCAGCTCCCTGCTTGTGGCCTGGGAAGGCAGTAGAGGACAGCCCAATGCTTTGGGACCCTGCACCCGTGTGGGAGACCTGGAGGAGGTTCCTGGTTCCTGGCTCCGGATTGGCACAGCACCGGCAGCTGCGCTCACTTGGGGAGTGAATCATCGGACGAAAGATCTTTCTGTCTCTCCTCCTCTCTGTATATCTTACTTTGTAATAAAAATAAATAAATCTTAAAAAAAAACTCCAATTAGGGGATATATAAATATATATAGTTTATCTTACTGCAAAGGCCAATCTATAGAGAAAAGGAAAGATTTTCCGTCTGCTGGTTCATTCCCCAAATGGTTGCAACAGCTGGAGCTGAGCCGATTAGAAGCCAGGAGCCAGGAACAATTTCTGGGTCTCCTACATGGGTGCAGGGTCCCAAGGTTTTGGGCCATCCTCCACTGCTTTTCCAGATCACAAGCAGGGAACTGGATGGGAAGTAGAACAGCCGGGAAATGAACCGGCGCCCATTTGGGATCTTGGTGGATACAAGGAGAGGACTTAGCCACTAGGCTATTGTGCGAGGCCCCAGGATATATTTCTGATGAAGTATGGGTGCTCAGCCCCACAGTGACATTAAGAGACCTGGAAGATAGTAGTCCAAGCCTGGTCACATACAACTCCACTCGGAGGGTGGAAGGTGGTGGCTTTTGTAATTTCACTGCTCTTAAACAAATCCAAAATCCCAAAAAGTGAAGCCAGGATTTCCAAACTCATGTAGTGAGCACCCACATTCCATGTCTTCTACTATATATTAAGATGGGGGAACAAAACGAGGACATGGAAGAAAAATCTTGTGATAAAGACTCCAAGACATGTAAAAATGACAAAAACCTAGCTACTGTTACTTCTTGCCAACAGCTACAATCTTTTTCCTCTTCTTGGGCAGTCTGAACTTTCAAAGTTATAATTCCATAATGAGTCTTCAAATATGTTATTTGTGGAATGGGCATTCAGTATAGTGATTAAAGGTGCCTGTGTTCCACATCAAACTATAGGGTCAGTTCTTAAATCTGGCCCCGACCCTGGCTTCCTGCTAATGAGGACCCGGGGAGGCAACCACGGTACCTCCAGTAATTGGTTCCTGCCCCCCATGTGGGAAAATTGGATTGAGTCCCTAGCTCCTGACTTTTGCCCTGGCCCATCCTGGGGAGTAAAGCAGCAAATATGAACTCCCTGTCTCTACTTCCCCCAGCCCCTCCAAAAAAAAAAAAAAAAAAGTTACTTGTAACCCACAACTCCACAACCCTTCCCAAACTTGAGTGGATGGGTAACAATCATGACAGACTCTGCTAAGTTTCCACAAATCATTGGTTTATTAGAAAGTTCCTTTCCCTCATTTTACAGCATATATATATCTCTATCATAGGTGATAAAGTTAAATACAATCTATTATGCTTGTAAGTAAGGATAGGTTACTTTGTTTTTTTAAATCACTATTCTTCAAGTTAAAGAAAACTGCCTCCAGGAAGGAGAGGTGGCAGGAGTATGGCTCCATCTATAAGCTAAGGGGAAGCAGCATGAAAATGTTAATACTGTTTCATTTAAATATTTACATGGGATGAAAGAAAAATGAGTCCCTTCACTCCAAACAGATGATTTTATTTCCCCAGTGCTACTTATGTGAAAAATGCTGCTTCTGAAATCAGATGAGGAATACTCAACAGAGAGGTGGCTCAGTCAAGAGCCTTGTTCGCTCAGTGCTTGCTTCTCATAAATTCAAAACCTTTCTCTTTTGGGTATCTGAGAAGGCAGGCACGCAGACCTGTGGCGTAGCAAGTTTTGTTTGTCCTGTCAGTTGACCACCCCACCTAGCGTATGTAGCCCCAAGAGCAGCCAGGGAAATGCCAAAGAGGGAAGTATAGCAAATGATATGGGAACTTCCAGACAAGCAACTTGGTTAGCACTCCTTAGGGCTGAGCTTGGCTGAGAGGCAAGAACAGAGGCTTAGATGATAGTTTTTCTGGTCAGTGTTAGGGGAGAAAAGGGGAAGAAAAAAAAAAGGAGGAAGAAGCTTATGCTGCTCACACTGAGCTGGGCAGAGGGAATGGAACCATGAAGTGAAAGAATCTGAAGTCTACCGTGTGCTCGCCTCCCAACAAGAATGTTCCACTGTCCTCCGGGCTATTCCTACTGGTTTCTGGCCAACCCAAAAGGCACATTTTAAAAAGTCATCAGAAGGGCCAAGTCCTAGGAAGGCAAATGCACTGCTTGGGCAAGGCCGCCCTGTGCAGCCCCAGGAGTCCTCCTGGATAAACCCAGAACCTCACTGCTACCAGAGTCACGCCATCTGCTTTCCTCCCCTCTCCAGTGGAATCCACCTGTCTGTACTATGAAGCATGAGAGAGACCGTCTCACCCAAGCACCTTCTGACACCCTCAGCCGACTGTTAGTTCGAAATCTTAGAACTGAGGGCACCATTTACCGCAAACGATTCTTAATATTTTGCCCCAGCCAAAAAACCTTTTAATATTTTTATAGTTTGTAACTTCAAAAATACATGAGCTTGATAAAATATACATGCTTAGTCATTTTTGCATCTAGCAGAAAACAAATACTTTATTTTTGTTTTCACTTTATAACCTTTAAAGTTTCTTAATTCAACTAGGGCAAACATATTTACACAAAGCCACCAGAACAAGGATCACTTAAAGAGCTGAATGTAAAAAATATTATTGCAGTATACTACAAATATGGAACCTTTTTTTTGTATGAGCTACAAAAAGCAGCATTTACGTTTATAGAGTTCAGTGCAATTTTTACATTAAAAAAAATCCTATAAATTAAGAAGGAAACATCAACACAACAGAAGAAAATACACCCTTCAGACACGTGCGCCCCCCTGGAGGACGCAGGCGGGTGACTGTGTTCCGCATAGCTTCTATTCATGATAGGCTCTTTTTTCTGGGATATGCAGAAACCTCTTGTGGGCTGAGGGACAGGAGGACAGCAGGGCCCATCGCTCGGCTCTCTCCTGGGAGATGGGGAGTGGACTGCAGCCCAAGTTGCATCTGGATCCAGGACGGATGTCCTTTTCATCTCACCTGCGACAACGACGTTGCCCAAAGTGGTGCTGCTCTTTCTGCCAGGGGAGCAGCGTGGTCTTCCTTGTGGCTCTGAAAAAGTGAGACCAGATGGACCCACGCAAGTGCTTTGGTGACAACCACCAGACAAAAAAGGAGGGAAGATGTTTTTAAAAATTTATAGGAGGGAAGAGAAGAGAATAAAAAGTAGATGGAGGAGAGGACTATCTAAATTTGACAGTCTGGGGATGCTGTGGAGGGGTGAGGAGCACTCACTTGTGCTCCCTTGCTCAGAAACACAGGAGAACAAAGGACATATAGAAAGAAAGGGAAAAAAAAATCCCTGATAGTAAACCCAAAGCAAACCTCAAATCTAAACCCATCCCTGCAAGCCAAAAACTCGATTCTTTGGCTCTCAGACACTGCCTGTTCCAGCCTCTACTTGCTGGTATTAATGGCTCAACACCCCCAAAGGCTGATTTATCAATCACTTTCCCTAACCCTATCAAGGCTTCCACCCTCCAACTCACGTGCCATGGCTTGGGGGGTGTTGCAGGTCCTGCCCTGAGAAGATGGGGTGAAGCAATGGGTGAAGGTGGAGGGCAGTGGCAGCCGCTGCAGCAGGTCGTGGGGCAAGGAGAGTAGGGTAGAGGGCAGCATGTGGTACAGGATGGAAGGTGAAGGGCCCAGGATGGATGGCTGAGGCAGGAATGATGTGGATGGGATGGCTAGCCAGAAAGGTGGCAGGGTGACCAGGGATGATTGAGTGAGTAAGGTGGGACAAGGAAATGGGGGTCAGATGGGGCTGGGGAATATGATGCACTTGGGCAAGTGGCTGGGGGTGGGGGTGGGGGTGGATGCCAATGGCCGCAGCAGCTGCTGCAGCGTGGTGCTGTAGGATGGCGTGCTGCACAGTTGTGATGGACGTGGCGGAGGCGGTGGCTGGCTGCTGAATGTGGATAGGCTGTAGGGCCGGGGCGGCTGGGGCCAGGGCTGCTGAGGCTGGAAAGGCCTTTACTTGCTTGGCCAGAAGCTGTTGCTGGATGTGCTGCTGAGCAGCCTGCTGGAGCTTGCTGTACTTCTCCATCTCCTCAGGAGTGAAGGTGATGGGTTGACTCTCCAGGGGGGCCAGGGACGCGTCCTCAGCTCCATCTGTGGACTCAATACTAGGCTCCCCACTGGGAAGGGCATAACCAGGTAAGTGGTCAAGGTCTGGTGCCAGAGGCAGCAAGCTCGATTCCACAGGGCCTGGCTGACTACTGCTCTCCAGGGACTCAAGAGTGTCCCCATCGCTGGGGTCAGGGAGGTAGTTATGGGAAATGGTTGTGTTCCCAGTATAGCAGTCAGAGGGTGGGGGGGTACCGAGTAGAGCCACAGGGTGAGCAGCAGCAGCGTCTTGGGACTTTGGCTCTTCTAGGGGTTGGTCTGATAAGGGAGCAGCTATTTCCTCTGCTGGGAACTCATGCCCAAATGCGGCATCACTATTCCCTGGGGGCCCCTCTTCTGTCTCTGACTGTTCTTGTTCTTCCCCCCTTTCCAAGCCAGACTCTTCACATTTCTTATTGTTGGGCTTTCGGTTGGCTGGGAGCTTCCCTATCAGTGGAAGGACAGGCTTACTGCCAAGAGATGGGGGTAGTTTGGGTCCAAAATAACCTTGTGGGGGGTCCTTGAGTTTAAGCCCAGCTTTGTTAGAGGTGGCCAGCACCTCCTCACTCACACTGGGCTTCCTCTCTACCCTCCTTGACTGGATCTTCTCTAGGAGCAGTCTGGCAGTGACTGAGTTTTTGTCTTCAGGGCTACAGTCGCTTTCTGATCCCCTTCCTGGGTCAAGGATGCTGTTTGGAGAGGGGGGTCCTGTCCCTTTACTGTCGTCTCCTCTGCCATCATCTTTCTTCCCAGCACCTTCTCCTCGGCCTGAGCGGAAATAGTGGGGGGACTGGGAACGGTAGATCTTGGAGCGAATGAAGTCCCGCCGCCCAGAACGCCTCTCCTCGGGGCTCTCATGACCCCACGATCCCTTTCTGGAGCCAGATCTCTGGGAAGGGCTCCTGGTGCTCCGGCTACGATCCCGGCTGTAGCTCCGGCTCCGCTGCCAGCTATGAGCTGTAGTGCTGCGGCTTCTTCGCTTGCTCCGACTACGACTACAACTGCTGCTGCAGCTGCGGCCCCGGGACCTCGATCGCTCCCTGGTATGACTCCGAGAGCGGCTTCGGGACTGGCTGCAGCTGAGGCTGTAGTCATCATCGGAGGATGAATACTTGTGTCGTTTGGACCGATGCTTGGAGCAGGCATAGTCTGAATCCTCCGAGTCATGGGAACGCTTGGAGTGCCTTCGTGACCGATCGCTGTAGTCACTGTAGCTGTCATCCGAGTAACTGTGCTGCCTGCTATAGCAGCTCTGGTCAGAAGAGGCAGCCGAGCTACTGGAGTAAGAACGCCGAGAGGATCGGTGTGACGAGTGGTGCCGGCCAGATCGGGAGCGGCTCCGGGAATGCTCGCTGCCCGAATCCTCCTCTTCCTCGTCCTCCTCACTGTACTGGGATGGAGACTTCTGATGCAGCCGGTGTGATGAGGCACCATCACTCTCCTCATCTCCACTGCTTGGCCGGCTCCGATGGCTAGACCGGCTGTTCCGTTGGGTGCCAGCTCTTCGCTGGCAGGAGGCAGCTGGAGGCTCACCCTTGTGTTTCCTCCCGTGTTCTTGGGAACTGCTACCACCTCCACCTTCATCCTTCTTGCCAGTGCTTCCTTCTTCAGCCGGAAGGGATCGCCGCTGGGAGTCATCCAAAGCACGACGCCGCCTTCTGGGTGGGGCAGGGCTGCCGCTGCCAGGGGGTTCTGGCTTAGGGCCTCGCTCGGAATCTGCTGTGGCTGAAGACTTATTCTTCTTTCGTTTTCGCTTCTTGCGTTTCTTAGACTTTTCCCCAGACTCTGCCTTGGAGTTTTTCTCCTCTGTGTCAGTCTTGTGTTTCCGTTTGTGTTTGCTGGATTTTTTGTGCTTCTTTTTCTTTTTGTGTTGGTGCGACTTTCCAGACCGTTCTTTCTTGTTAGGAGGGCCTCTCCCTGTGTCTTCTGGCTCTGAGCCATGGCTGCCCCCGGGCTCCTGCTTGCTCAGGCTGCTACAGGCAGATCCTGTCACAGGTGTCTCCATTTTGCTTCCTGAGGAATGGACCACATTCTCCACCTCTTCCTTGCTTTTATTTGACTCACTAGGATCAAGGTCTTGGAGATGGTCTTTAGAGGAGCCTCCAACATCTTTTGGTTTTTCTGTCCCTTTAGCCTTGGTATCTTTGTTCCGTGAAAGCTTAAAGTCAAAGTACAAAGGATTACAGCTGTAGGAGATGGATGGCTCTGCCTTGGTGAAAATTAACAGTTCCGATGGCCACTGGAGGGCAGTGCTTTCATCTTTGCTTAAAACAGGGAAGAAAGGACCAGTGGGATGCTTGGGTCCCTCCTGACTTTCTTTCACTGCATGGGCAGTCTGAGAGGTTTCTTTGGAAGGGTTAGACTCACACAGTTGGTTTTCTGAAGTCTTTTCACCCTGGTTCTGCCCGCTCTGCTCACTCCCATCGCCTCCTGAAGCTACCTTTGTCTCTGCTTTGCCTCCAGACTCCAAGGGGACAGCCGTACCACTTTCCTTCTGTTGCTCAGAGACTTCGCTAACCACCTTTTCCACTCCTTGGCCTGCTGCAGCCTTGACGCAGCCTTTGGGTTTGGGAGAACTGCTTTTTTTGCTCTCCAGGGTGTTCTTCAGGTGTGAACTACCATCGCCTTCCATTTGCTCACTGGCTCTCATAAAGAGCAGGAAGGGAAAATTGGGCTTCACTTTGCAGTGTGCTGGGGGGATATAGTGGTAATACTCTGGCTCAGGAGCCCCTGCTCCCTCTTCTCGCTTCATCTTTTTCAACTTGGATAGTGTGGAGGCCAGGGAGCCTCCATCCTGAGGCTCTTCATCCTCTCTCTTGCCGTCAGGATTGCTGGCGCTCTCAGAGTCGCCCATCTTTTGCAGCCCTTGGTCAGATCCCTTTTCATCTGGTTTGGCTCCTTCTTCAGAGGCTCCCTCCTCTGCATGGTCTTTGAAAACAGATGCTATTGATTCTAGTTTGACGGGAGCTTTCTTGGCAAAAGAAAACGACACTCCTATTTTTTGTAATGGGGTCCCCAGATTGTTCTTAATACCAAAGCTGATGCCTTGTGAGGCTAACCCAGAAGCCTGCGCCAGTCCAGTGGTGTTACTGGTTTGTACAGCAGTAAAAGGGCCTCCTTTATCTGTGGAGGATTCGGATCCTGGGCCACAAGACGCAGTGGCACTTGTGCCACTGTTTGCAGCTGATTCATCTTTATCATCATCTCCTCCTTCTTCATCTACAGCCACTGTGGTGGGTCTGAACATGGGACCACTGCCAGGTGCACTACATAATGATTTAGAAAAATGAAAAAAAGTTTTTTAGGAGTACATTTCATGCATCTTACATTTATCTTTTAGCTTCTATCATTTGTGAAGATAGTCATGCTCTAGTCCTGTGCTAATGGACAGACCTTTCTCACTCTGACACCTGAGTTCCCAGAGCTAGCCAGCCATTGCTGTTTCCTCACAAGCTATCTCACAGTTCATTCTTATCCCATCATTACCACCTGGGGAGTCCACCGGAACTGCTTCCAATCTCAATTCTTTTATTTAAAAGTCAGGGACAGGTAGAAACAGAAAGACAAAAGGATCTTCCATCCACTGGTTCACTACCCAAATGCCAGGGTTGGGCCAGGCCAAAGCCGGGGGCCTGGAGCTCCATCTGGGTCTTCCGAATACTTACAAGTACTTTAGTGAGTACCTGCTGCCAGCCCCAGATGCCTGCCCACTAGCAGGAAGCTGGTTGGGGAGTAGTTAGGATTCACAACCAGACCTCCAATAAAGGATGCAGGTATGCCAAGCAGTGGCTTAACCCACTGCTCCCCATCCCCAATCTCATTTCTTATTCTATCGTCCTATCTAGCAGTGTGTTATCAAAATTTACAAAATAAAAATTTACAAATTTACATTTTATTCTGCTAAAGAAAAAAAAATCGTTGCATTCATGTTGCCAGTTTGGCTTCACCAACTGGTAACTGTGGTGTCAAGGAAGGCAGACATTGGCTGCTGTGCAGTCTCAAGACTCGGTGTCTCCAGTGTGGAACCTGCACAAGCAACAGGTTTTAAAATAAATAAATAAATATATAAATAAGGAAGAAAAAACTCCCCATTTTTCCTTGTTCTCTCAAAATTCCTTTTTGAAAAAATGTGTTGTTTTAAATAAAACAATAAAAAATGTGTTGTTTTAAGGTCAGCATAATAGCTCAACTGGCCAATTCTTTGTCTGTAAGTATAGGCAACCCATAAGATGTTGGTTCCTGTCCTGGTTGCTCTGCTTTCCATCCAGCTCCCTGCCTGTGGTCTGGGAAAGCAGAGAGAATGGGTCAAGCATTGGGTCTCTGCATCCACCCAAAGACCCAGAAGAAACTACTGGCCCTTGGCTTTGCATCAGCTCAGCTTTGGCCATTTGTGGTCATCTTGGGAGTGAACCAGTGGGTAGAAGATCCTTCTGTAATTCCTTCACTCAGTAAATTTACCTTTCCAACTAAAAAAAAAATCTTCAAGCAAACAAAAGTGGTATTTCCGAATTAAATGTCAAAACTTATACATGCTACTCTGGGAACCTATGGATGGTCAATTTGTTTTAGATAGTAAAAATCACTGGGGCTAGTGTTGCAGTGTGGAGAGTAAAGCCACCCACTACAACACTGACATCCCACGTCCTGGCTGTTTCACTTGTGATGTTACTAACCCGGAAAATGCAGCAGAGATGGCCCAAGTACTTGAGCTGTTGCCACCAACGTGGAAGACTTGCGCAAAGCTCTTGGATTTGACCTGGCTCAGCCCTTCACTTGGGAAGTGAGCAAAACTACTTTCTTTGTAACTCTGATTTTCAAGTATATAAAAAAATAAGTCATAAGGGCCCGGCAATGGTAGCCTAGTGGCTAGAGTCCTCGCCTTGCATGTGCCAGGATTCCCATATGGACACCGATTCTAATCCTGACTACTCACTTTCCATCCAGCTCCCAGCCTGTGGCCTGGGAAAGCAGCAGAGGACGGCCTATATCCTTGAGACCCTGCACCTGTGGGGGAGACCTGAAAATGCTCCTGGCTCTGAATTGGCTCAGCTCCAGCCATTGCAGTCACTTGGGAAGTGAACCAGCAGACAGAAGATATTCCTTACTCTCTCCTCCTCTCTGTATATGACTTTCCAATAAATATAAATAAGTCTTTAAAAAAACCCATAAATAAGTCTTTAAAAATTGTGTTATTCTACTTAGTTCACAATGCCTTAAAAAAGGAAATAAGGGAGAAAGGAAGGAAGGAAAGAAAGAAGGAAAGAAAGAAAGAAGGTAGAAAAAAACAATCTGGGACCAGCATCATGGTGCAATGGGTTAAACTGCTGCGTGCCATATTGGCATCCCACATGGGCACTGGTTTGAGTCCAGACTGCTACTCTCCTGATCTAGCTCCCTGCTAATGTACCTGGGAAAGCAGCGGAAGATGGCCCAAGTGCTTGGGTCTCTATACTCATGTGGGAGGCATAGATAAAACTCCTAATGTCAACCTAACTTGACCCAAACAACTACAGCCATCTGGGGAGTCAATCAGCAGATCAAACATCCTGTCCCTCTCTCTAACTCTCATTCTCCTGAGAGCATCTGGTCATTTTAACTGTTCATATATACATTTGAGAGCAAGAGTCCCTTCTGAAGAAAAGCATGTACTAAATTGGGTCCTGAACTAGAAAGCAGTCTGGTATAAGCAGTTTTTTTTTTTTTAAAGATTTATTTATTCTTATTACAAAGTCAGATACACAGAGAGGAGGAGAGAGAGAGGAAGATCTTCCAACTGATGATTCACTCCCCAAGTGACCGCAACGGTCGGTGCTGCACTGATCCAAAGCCAGGAACCAGGAGCCTTTTCCAGGTCTCCCATGTGGGTTCAGGGTCCCAAAGCTTTGGGCCATCCTCCACTGCTTTCCCAAGCCACAAGCAGGGAGCTGGATGGGAAGTGGAGCTGCTGGGATTAGAACTGGTGTCCATATGGGATCCCAGCACGCTCAAGGCGAGGACTTCAACCACTAGGCCACGCCGCTGGGTCCAGTTTTTTTGTTTTTTAAAGATGCATTTATTTTTATTAGAAAGGCAAATCAGATTTCCCGAAAGAAGTAAAGACAGAGAGAAAGATGTTCCATCTGATGGTTCACTCCCCAAATGGCAGCAACGGCTAGAGCTGAATTCATCCAAACGTAGGAGCCAGGAGCTCTTCTGGGTCTCCCACAAGGGTGTAAGGTCCCAAGGCATTAGCCTGTCCTCTACTGCTTTCCTAGGCCACAAGCAGGAGCTGGTTGGGAAGTGGAGCAGCCTCGATGCGAACTGGGGCCCATATGGGATCCTGACATTTGCAATGTGAGGATTTAGCCATTGAGGCATTGTGCTGGGCCCTTGCCCTTGTATGAAAAGACAGCCTTGCAGTAGCTCCAGGAGGAATGAATTGACGATAGGAAGAGTTGTCAAGAAAGGAATCAGATCCAATAGATGTAATTTAAATAAACTCAAAGATCATGTATCAGTTTTTTTTTTCAAAAACAACTGTATGTGGTTTTTCCTCTCTTCCTTCTTCCTCCAAAATACACGTAAGTAAAAAAAGGAGAGGCAAAATAAACTAGCATATATTAGAACTTGAACTCTGACACCGACGTAACTATAAACTTGTGAAAAAATTTATTAATATTAGAAAGGCATATCTACACAGAGAAAAAACCTCCATCCGCTGGCCATTCCCCGAATAGCCTCAATGGCTGGAGCTGAGCTGAGCTGATAAAAAGCCAGGAGCCAGAGCCCAGAGCCTCTTCCGGTTGTCCCATGCCCTTCCCCTGCCTCCCCCCGCCCCCTGGTTTTTTTTAAAAGCCACAAGCATAGTTTCTCTTCCTACTACTATAACCAGTTCCTCCCTTTGGTCCTGACAGCCAACAACAACAAAAGGATCTAAGTCTCTCTGATTAAGACATACATTGTATAGCAGCTGTCAATGCCTTAGGATTGGGTCTGCCGACTAATAATTGCTTAGAATTTCAGCCCAAGGTGAGGGCAAATTCTACTTAAAGCTAAATACTAGCCCAAAAATTGAGTGAAAACTGTAATGCAGCCTTTAAAAAATTAAACACATCAGCAAGAAAGTAACAGAATGCTATAGATTTTCAAGTAGTGAAAAGGCAGTTATAATACTTGAACCTGTGCTCCAGTACATTTATGTTATCAAAGAGAATGTGTTTTGCTACATAACATGAATGTTGGACAATGGTGACTCTAGTTAACAGCAGCATCATTCACTTACTGAAGCACTTAGCCAACTTCCACATTCTAGGCACACTTTTTAAGTGCTTCTGATATAGCAACTGACTCACTTCTCACAACTATAATACTAATTATCCTCATCTGATAGATAACAAAGCTGAGGAACTGAGAGCTAAGATACAACTTGGTGGACCAGGTGTGACGGCTTCGTGGCTAAATCCTTGCCTTTAACACGCTAGAATCCTACATGGGCACTGCTCCATTTCCCTGCTTGTGTCCTGAGAAAGCAGTAGAGGACGGCCCAAAGCCTTGGGACCTTGTACTCATGTGGGAAGACCTGGAAGAAACACCTGACTCCTGGCTTTGGATCAGCTCATTTCTGGCTATTTGGGAAGCAAACTATATCTCTATTTCTCCCCTCTCTCTATTTCTCCTCTCTCTGTAAAATCTGCCTTTCAAATGAAATACATAAATCTCAAAAAAAAGAAAAAATGCAAAAATCTTTAACTTTTGTAACTGAAGGATTCTACGGATTTATAGAAACCTCTGAGAAAAAACATCCTCACCATTCTGCTTGTTTTCTTTGCTCTGCCAATTCGTGCAGTCTCCGCAGGGCTTTTTCCTGTTTCTTCTCATCCTTGCGGGATCTTGAGGAAACATTTCGAGCAAACTCTCTCTGTTTGAGATCTTTTAATCTCTAGGGTAACAGAAGGAAAGGAAGAGAGGGTAGGTAATTTAGGATAACTTGGGTATCTGGAAGTAAACCTTTCAGAATATTTACCATTTACCAATGATTATTGTGCTAGCGGAAAGATGAGTTACACTTTCTTACAGTAACTGAAAACACGACAGCTGATTACTTTGAGTGTAATACTTAGGAATATCTGCAGTTCTAATTAGGACAGCATATCATCTCCTTTATTAGGCAAAATAAAATGATTTCAGAAGCAACAAGCAGATTTGAGAACACTGGGAAGAAAGAAGGGACTTTTTAATCACCTGCACTTCCAGGATGCAAACTAGACAAACAGACCATGTGATACATTGTAATAACACAGGCCAAATTGAACAGAAAGGGGTTAGGCTAATATGGAAAATTACCCAGGTATAACATCTTAAAAAGCAATGTACAGCTTACATGGGGAGTTCATTTGAGTCAGATCAGCAGAGAACATATTCTCATTTCACCATAAAAAGGTGTTCTTTTCAGTATGAACAGAAGTTTCCTATAACTATTACGTGAACCCAGCCGAGGTCCCCCAATGCTAGCGTGTTCAGAACTCACCAACCTGAGCACTTTCCTCTGCTCAGGCTGCTAAAATGACAGAGGAATATGTTTAGGTTTCCATTCTTTAACAGTGTTGAGAGGAACATCCTGGAGATATGGGGGGAGAAGAGAAACAAACTAAAGATTTTTAAATTTAAAATCCAGGTAACAGAATGGGTCTTTAATTCTCAGAAATGACCGTAAAATTTTCCTTAAAAAAACCAAACCAAAACAAAACAAAACAAAAAACCAACTACTCAAAAAGAAAAATGGCAGGAGACACATTAGCCACAGAGTCCAGAGGTATCTTATCTGTGATGAGAGAAATACAATTACTTCAACACACTGGATAAACAAACAAACAAACAAAACAAAACATGTATTAACCTATGTTTTCACAATAGCACCAGGGAAGGAATCTGACCCAATATAAAGTGGACATTGCTTTGTGGAAGGACCTGGTGTTTGACAGAGAGAAGGAATTCTCTTACCTAATATTTATGAAATGTGCTTTGAATCTGTTCGAACTGGGAGTGGGGAAGGGCAGGAGGACACACACACACATACAAAGATATACAGCTAAAGACACTAGTAGAAAACTCACTCTTGTGATCTGGGCTCCCAAATTAGAAGGATTTGCTTTCAACAGATCAGCTGAAAATGTCACATCACAAAGGAAAAAAAAAAGTAAAAAAATAAAACAATAGTGGAAGAGAAAAAAAAAATAAAGCAAGCATTACTACTTAAGCTCTCTCAGTGAATCTGCAAACTGTTATATACTGAACAATTAGGACAAAGCCATGAGCTCTAAAACGTCTGGGCGAAGGGAAGCACCTGTACAACACACACACGTACATACACACAGACCGACACAGTAATCCTACCTAGAGAAAGGGACCTGCCAATGTACATTCCAAGCAAAAAGCAACAGAACTCTGGAAAAGTTACTGCTATCTACTGAGATTGGCAGGCCAAAAAATAAACATTTTTATAAAACTGCCTCAAGAGGAATGATCAACAATTTAGAGTAAATATGAATTGTAGCAGCTTCTTTCTGAGCACAGGGACCCATAGTGGAGCCTATCAGGCCTATTGCTACATACCTAGCTTTCCTCATATCCAAACACTTCAAAAGTTTCCTAGCCAAGATTTCAACAGAATGTGTCTTTCTTCCATCTTCTTCCTAGCCACCTGTTAAGCCGGGAAAAAGTCCCCCACATACAATTTCCTCTCCTCTTACAAATATTTCAACATTTTTCATGAAGCATTTCTCAAAGTACAGGACACTGTCCAACAGAGCAATCCTATTTTCCAAGTCGGGAGTCTCTAGCCAGAATCCGATAGAACTGCCACTCGGTACATCCTTGAAGTGGAAGGAACAGGACCACATCCACACCAGCCCAAGACACTCTGCTCCAAACAGCTACCTCGGGGATACAGTTGCAGGGAAGGACAAAGAAAAGGAGATGTCAATGAGAAAAAAGGAAACTTTTGCTTCCCCCTACCTGCCAGGTAGCTTTGCCTCAGTGTTCTGCAAGGTACAGCAGGCACTCCCATACACTTTCACAAAATTGGAAATCAAATCTGGAGTCTCAAACACAGAACTAGGAAACCCAGAATTCTTTTTTTTTTTCTTTTAAAAATCTATTTATTTTTATTGGAAAGGCAGATTTACAGAGAAAAGGACAGAGCAAGATCTTATGTCTGCCAGCTGACTTCCCAAGTGGCTATAATGGTTGGAGTTGCGCCAATCTGAAGCAGGGAGCCAAGAATCTTGTCTGGGTCTCCCACAGGGATGCAGGGTCTGAGCAGCCAGAATGTGAATTGGCACCTATATGGGATTCCAGTGGATGCAAAGTGGGGACTGAGCCACTAAGCTACTGTGCCAGGGCCAAACCCCAGAATTCTAACCTTACTTTTACATATGAGACTCAGGCACTTCTCCCAAACCCAATTTGAACATCTGAGGTCGCTTAAAAAATTCTTAAGATAAAAATGACAAGACGAGGCCAAGGTTTCTCTTCACCTAGAATGATGCCTAAATCCAAGCCTCCTGGGGCTGATACCATGGCATAGCATGTTAAACCTCCACCTCCGGTGCCGGCATTGCAGATGAGTACCAGTTTTACTCCCAGATACTCTACTTTTGAGCTGGCTCCCTGCTAATGGTCTGGAAAAGGCAGCAGAGGATGGGCGACTGGCCCAGCTCCAACTATTGCAGCGAATTGGGGTGTGAATCAGTGGAAGGAAGATTTCTGTGTATCTTTTTCTCTCTCGCAAGCTCTGCTTTTCAAACACAAAACAAAATAAATTTTAAGAAGAAATTCTAAATAATAATAATAAACCTTCAAATCTTTTCTTTGCAGCTAAATTTCCTTCGTGAAGTCTCTGATAATCTTTCCGAGAAGCACTATTGAGTGTCAGGTATCTAACAGTGCCATAGCTCACCCAACAACCACAGGATTTTGCTCTGACTACAACTTTCTAGATTTTTTTTTTTAAGATTTATTTTATTTTTATTGGGAAGGCGGATATACAGAGAGGAGAGACAGAGAGGAAGGTCTTCCGGCCGATGATTCACTCCCCAAGTGAGCGCAACGGACGTTGCTATGCTGATCCGAAGCCAGGAGCCTCTTCCAGGTCTCCCACGCGGGTGCAGGGTCCCAAAGCCTTGGGCCGTCCTCGACTGCTTTCCTGGGCCACAGGCAGGGAGCTGGAAGGGAAGCGGGGCTGCCAGGATTAGAACTGGTGCCCATATGGGATCCCGGGTGTGCAAGGCGAGGACCTTAACCACTTGCGCCACCGCGCCGGGCCCTAGATTTTTTTTTAAACACATTGGGTTTCCAGTTTAGTCAAAAATATCCTGAATTTGGTTTCAATAATTACTTGTCAAGTGATTTTACCTTACTGAATTCTAGTTCCCACACTAGAAAATCAGGGATATCTATCAGATTTGGGCCCGGCGTGGTGGCCTAGCAGCTGAAGTCCTTGCCTTGAATGCGCTGGGATCCTATATGGATGCCTGTTCTAATCCCGGCAGCCCCACTTCCCATACAGCTCCTTGCTTGTGGCCTGAGAAAGCAGTTGAGGACAGGCCAAACCCTTGGGACCCTGCACCCACGTGGGAGACCTGGAATAAGTTCCTGGCTCCCAGCTCCAGATTGGCTCAGCTTCTGCTTCTGAATGAATCACCCACGACATCATACGTGGTAAGGTAAAGTCCAGGAGAGCACACAACTGGGTATATTATTTAATAGTATAGAAGTGACTGCTTTTACTGTTTAGTCTAGCTTCAATAAACATTTAAGTTTTAAAAAAAGTGACTACTTTAAGGTATTTTTGTATATGTACATGTATATAAATACACGATATACACAAATGTGTATCAAAACACGAACACATGTATATAGCACATATTTTCCTCATTACTACTATGACGATTTAGGTTTTATTTACTTAACATATCTTTTTTTTTAAAGATTTATTTTTATTATTATTTTTTCATTGGAAAGGCAGATATACAGAGAGGAGAGACAGAGAGGAAGATCTTCCCTCCGATGGTTCACTCCCCAAGTGAGCGCAACGGGCCGACACTATGCCGATCTGAAGCCAGGAGCCTCTTCCGGGTCTCCCACATGGGTGCAGGGTCCCAAAGCTTTGGGCTGTCCTCGACTGCTTTCCCAGGCCACAGGCAGGGAGCTGGAAGGGAAGCGGGGCTGCCGGGATTAGAACCGGCGCCCATATGGGATCCCGGGCGTGCAAGGCGAGGACCTTTAACCACTTGCGCCACCGCGCCGGGCCCTACTTAACATATCTTTAGGGTTCACATATGTTATATATACTGGTAAATCACTCCTTTTATTGTGAAGCATATTCCATCGTGTGGACATGCCTATTTCATCCATGTACCAACTGCTGTACACGTGGATTATTTCTGCTTTTTGGTTATTATGAATAATGTCATGAACATTCTTGCACAATTCTTATGTGGCCAGCCATTTACTTTCATTTTTCTTGGCCGTATGCCAGTCATATATCTCTATATATAAGCTTGTGAAGAAGTTTCAAACCATTTTTCAGGAGTTTTATCATTGTATTATTTCATAAGCTGCGTAGCAGGGTTTTAACTCCACTGCACCCTCTCCAGTATTACTTATTGTGTGTTCATTTCTTCCACTCTAGTGGGAATATGACTGACAAAGCTGCTACAACCTACAGCAAATTGAACAGCAGTTCTCAGCCCAGAGGTCTGAGACACAGGTGGAGTTTCAGGTTCTCACTCCAGCCCGAAGCAGTGCCCACCACTGTGGCCATCTGAGGCTGAGTCAGCAGAAGAGACATTTCTTTCTCTTAATCTACCTTTCAAATAAACAAATCTTAAAAAAAAAATTGAAAAGTTTAAACTGAAAATTATCTTCTGTCACTTAAAA